TCTCATGGGAATGTTGGTGTGCTCGGTGTTGTCCCAGAGGTCCCTTTTGCTTTTCTGATCGGGTGTTTTCCACTCCCTTGTATTATTCGATCATCTCCTTCATGTAATCTGTTGTTGATTCCTTCCAGTGTTTTTCATTTCAGTTATTGTAATCTTCCTTTCTCACTAGTACTTTTTTGTGTTTTGTACCTTTGTAGTTTCTCACTGAGGTCATCTCTTCTTCCCCTAAGTTCATTGAGCATCCATATACCCACTGTTTTGATACTCAGTGAGAGACAGTGTCTGGTAGGTTGCTTGTCTGCATTTCAGGTAGTTTTTTTCTGGAATTTGGTCTTGCTCTTTCATTTGGGATATATCTCTTTGTCTCCTCATTTTGGCTTCTTCCCTGCATTTGTAGATCTGCTCTGTCTCCCAGTCACTGCATAGTGGCCTTATGTAGGACATGTACTCTGGGTCTCAGTAGCATAGTCCCTGGTTACCTCAGTCAAGTGTTTTAGGGGTACCCCTTGTGTGGGCTGTGTGTGTCCTGCTGTTGTAGTTGAGCCTTGATTGCTGTTGGCATGTCTTAGAGTTTGGTCAGCCCTCAGGCTAACTAGCTTTGAGTGCTGGCTGTGACTGCAGTGGGTGCACTGTTGTGACGCCACGAAGAGGGAGTTACTTTAGTGGGCTCTAGTGCCTGTCATGTCTGCGCTTTGGGTGTGTCATTTGAGGAGCTGGTTCAGTGACGTTTTGGTACAGTCTGAAGCTGGCCATTGGGTGTATTGGTTCTGGAGCCTCTTGGCAGGGGCTTCAATGCAGGACAAGGTCACTTGCCACTTGCGCTGAGCTTGAGGTCACCTGGTAGAAGCTAAAAAGTGATATGTGGTTGATTGCTGCTCATGATGGGCTTGGAGGAGCTTGGGAAATACAATGCTGTGAACCAAAGCCAGCTGCTACTTGTCTTGGGCTTTGGGACCCTTTAATGGATACCTGAATATAAGCCGAGGCCAGTGGCAACTTGTGCCTGGCTGTGGCTGCTTAGCTGAAGCTGTTTTTGAGCTAAGACTGGCTACACTTACTCCAAGCTTATGGGTACCCAATGGGGGTTACAGTGCAAGTTGAGACCAGCCACTGGTTATGCTGGGCTTAAGGCTGCTTGCAGGGGATACTGAGGTCAGCTGCCACTTGTTTGGGGTTTGTGAACCTTTGAGAGATTTTAGGAAGGTCCTCAGCACGAGCCCAGACAGCCCACCTGTGTGGAGCAGGCCCTAGAAGAGGTTCATGGCAGGTGCTCAACTTGAGTGGGGTGGGATCTCAGGGAATCACCAGGGTGGGACTAATGGTGCTAGCCAGATTAACAGAGAGCTCAGATTTGGTGCTTTATTGTATCTTCAGTCTGAGAGGCTGGAGTGTTCAACAAAGGAATAATGATGCCTGCCAGCACTTCCTTTCCCAGGGAGAGTTGCCCAGACCCTTGCCCTGAAGCTAGCTCCCCCCAGATGTCCCTGGTACTTTTTAAGCTGCTGTCCCTGTTCTGTAGCTCAGAGCAAGTGAGTTTGTCAGCAAATTTGTCAGCAAGCAAGTTCATGTGCAGGCCCATTAAGAGGGCAACGTGATCTCCTGCTGTCCTCATGCTCACTTACACTCAATCCCTGCTGGTTTTCACAGCCAGATGGTACCTTGGGCTGGGACCCATTGCTTCATAGGGGGGACCTTTGCAACATAGATATCCCTCCTGATTTTTCTTCTTTTTAAAAAATCTTCACCCAAAGACATCTTTTTATTGCTTCTAGAGAGAGATGAGGAAGGCTGGGAGGGGGGGAGAGAGAAAAAGAGAGAGAGAGAAACATTGATCAGCTGCCCTCTTTGGAACCCGCAACCTGGGTATGTACACTGACTGGGAATTGAACCCTGTGACCTTTGGGTCTGTGGGTGACATTTCAACCAACTGAGCCAGTCTAGCCAGGGCACTCGTGATTCTTAATTATCACACTTTGAGTGTGAGACCTGCCTGTTCTGAGTCTCTGCCTCTCCTGCCAATCTTGATGCAGCTTCTTTATATCCTTAGTCATAGGACTTCTATTCAGTGAGGTTTCATGTGGCTCTCAGTGATGGTGGTTCTGTAACTTAGTTGTAATGTTAATGTGTTCATGGGGGGAGGTGGACACAGCATTTAGCTTCTCTACCAGCTTGACTGGAAGTTCATATTATCTTAACTAATACATATAGAAGGAATAATGGAACTATAAAATTACTATTTGATAACTGTTGTAATCATCATGTAAGATGCTAAAACTTGTGGAGAAAAGCTTGATAAGGTATGAGATATTTACATGATCATAATGGATCTCTCCCCCAATATTTATTAATAGAAAAGTAGAGGAAATTATAACTTTGTGGTGGAGAATCCTGGCAGATACCACTTTTATCAAGAGATTGATGTTAACATCCAGTAAGGAGATGAATTGAAATCATGTTGCATCTGATAAAATGCAATGAAAGGAACACACCACTTTCACAATGTTCCTGCCAAAGGCGCATAATCTGATCATGGTCATAGAGAAACATTAGACAAATATGAAAAGACATTCTCTGATTTTCAAAATTGTCAGACATGAAAGTCAAGGGAAATCTGATGAGCTGTTCCAGATTGAAAGAAACTAAGGAGACATGACAAGAATGTGTAACTCTGAACGGTGCATAATACAACGTGTAACTCTGAATTGGACGTTTTTGTTGTAAAAGACACATTGAGAAAATTGGAAAAACCTGACTGGGGTCTGAGGACCCTGTGGTAGTAATATTAATATATCAATATCAATTTTCTGATTTTTATGATTGTAAATGAGCTTGTTTTATAGGAAACATTTATGATGGGACACAAGATCAGCAACTTATTCTCAAGTGCTTTAGAGGGTCATATATACTGTATTTCTATTTTTCTGTAACCTTCAGTTTAAAAAACTTTTTAAAATGCTTTTGGTGCTTAAACAACTAAAATTTATATATTTGAAAAATCAGGGACTTCCGCCAAGATGGAGGCATAGGTGGGAACACTTTTCGTCCTCGCACAACCAAATCTAAAAACAACAAAGTTTTAACTACAATAAACACAACCAAACCACACAGAAAATCAAATATGGAGTCCGGAAACAATGGACCACTCAGCTAAACTGGTGAGAGGGACGAAACCAGCAGTGGAGCCAGTCGGGCTAAAAAGATCCGGGCGGTGCTCAGTCAGCTGGGGGCGCGGATCCCAGGTGCGGGCTAGCTATGGGTGGAACCCAGAGAAGAGGCACCCAGGGAAGAGGCGCTGCTGGCTGTCTGCAGTCGGTCACGCATTTGCGTGCAGATAAACCAGTGAAGAGGCGAGCATTGAGACAGATCTCGCAGGCCCCAGCGACTGGCGCAGGTTGGCAGACTCACACATTTGCACTTGGATAAGAAGGCGTGGGCGAGAGGTGAGGCAGACTGGGCCAGCAGAGAGGACCGCCATTGCTCCCTCTCTGACCCCGCCCCCACGTGCAGCGTCACAAACCTGCGACCAGGGTGGCCCTGCCCCGTAAACACCAAGGCACCTCTCCTCACAGGTAACAGGCACGAACAGATCAAAACATGGCTCAAGAACAACTCAGAGCCCCAGAGCCAATAAATCTAAGCAACCAAGAAATAGCCAAACTTTCAGATGCACAGTTCAAAACACTGGTGATCAGGATTCTCACAGAATTGGTTGATTATAGTCACAAATTAGAGGAGTATGTGAGGGCTAAACTAATTGAAATGAATGGAAATGCACAGGAAACCAATAGTAATGGAAAGGAAACTGGGACTCAAATCAAAGGAGTGGACCAGAAAGAGGAAAAAATGACCAAACAGAAAAGGATGAAGAAACAAGAATTCAAAAAAATGAGGAGAGGCTTAGGAACCTTCAGGACATCTTTAAATGCTCCAACATCCGAATTATAGGGGTACCAGAAGGGGAAGAGGAACACCTACGAGTGGAACACTTATTTGAACAAATAATAAAGGAGAATTTCCCCAATCTGGCAAAGGAAATAGACTTCCAGGAAATCCAGGAAGCTCAGAGAGTCCCAAAGAAGTTGGACCCAAGAAGGAACACACCAAGGCACATCATAATTATATTAGCCAAGATGAAAATGAAAGAGAGAGTTCTAGAAGCAGCAAGAGATAAGGAGACAATCACCTACAAAGGAGTGCCCCTCAGACTGTCAGCAGATTTCTCAAAAGAGACCTTACAGGCAAGAAGGGCTGGAAAGAAGTATTCCAAGTCATGAAAACCAAAGACCTACAACCAAGATTGCTCTATCCAGAAAAGTTTTCATTTAGAATAGGACAGATAAAGTGCCTCTCAGATAAGATCAAATTCAAGGAATTCATGATCACCGAGCCCTTACTATATGAAATGTTAAAGGGACTTACCTAAGAAAAAGAAGATAAAAAAGATGAAAGGACATGTTCAGTGAAAGGACAGCAAACTCACAGTTATTAAGAACCACACCTAAAACAAAAGCAAATTAAGAGGACAGCTAGATCAGGAGTGAACCAGAGAAATGAAGATCACGTGAAGGGTTAGCAACAGGGGAGTGAGAGAAGGAGAAGGGGGGAGAAGGTACAGAAAATAAGTAGCATAGACAGTAGATAGAAAATAGATAGGGGGGAGGGTAAGAATAGTATGGGAAATATAGAATCTAAAGAACTTGAGACACGTGTTCATGAACTAAAAGGGGGAGAGTGGTGGGGGAGGGATGTGCAGGGTGGAGGGGAATGAAGGGGGGGAAATAAAACAAACGTAATGGCATAATCAATAAAAAAAGTTAAAAAAAAATCACATACCCGATTTCTTAGTGACACTGAATAATGGAGGGAGATATATAATTTTAATCAATGAAGCAGTAAAATTAAATTCTTTTTCTCATTTTTTCAGTAAGATTGCTTATATATTTTTTCAGAAATATTCTGATACTTATTAAGGAGCTTTTTTTTCTATTTTACCTTGAAAGGTTGCTCAAGAAACAGATGTTCGAGCCCAGATTCGCCTGCAGTTCCGCGATGTCAACAGCGAGCTTGTGGCTGTGCAGCGGTCCATGGTGTGCACTCAGAAGGGCAGAAAGACCGAGTTTAAAACCCTGGAGGGGGTCATTACCAGGACAAAGTAGGCATTCATTTTATATTTGATTATATGCTCATTTTCTGTCTTTTAGTTCCTTTATTTTTTCCCTACCATTTTAAGTTTATTTTAGGGGAGTGTATTTTTTAACACTTTGTTTTGTAGAGCAGTTTTAGGTTCTTAGCAAAATGGAGCCGAAATTAGAGTGTTTATATGTTCCCAGCCCATACATGCACAGCCTCACCCACTGTCACCATTTAACTTTTTATCTGACTCCAATTTATTGGTTAAACAGAATGATCCCATTTAAGATTTAGTGATAATGCTCCATTCTTTTTTTTTTTTTTTTAAGATTTTATTTATTTATTTTGAGAGAGGGGAAGGGATGGGGACAGAGAGGATAAGAAACATTAATGTGTGGTTGCCTCTCGAGTGCCCCCTACTAGGGATCTGGCCTGCAACCCAGGTATATGCCCTGACTGGGAATTGAACTGGCGACCCTTTGCAGTCTGGCCCTCAGTGCACTGAGCCACACCAGCCATAGCAGATTCTTTTGAGTAATTTATGAATAGTTGCTGAATTGAAGGTATATAATTGCTCAAATATAGATTGAATGAAGACAACGTTAGTATGTGTAGGGATGGATGGGATGAGAAGTAGACAAGTAGGAAAGAGTCCTACTTGTCCTAATAATTTGTCCATTTCAACTGTTAACATTCTGTTACAGTAGGTGTCATCTAGTAGTGAGTGTGGATTTCAGAATTACTCTATCCCAGATTCAAAGCTTTATCTTTGTTGAGCAGATTAGTTAACTATAACCTTACCTCTTACTTTTATTTGTTTGTTAAACTAATTAAATAATCCCTTTATTTAACCAATAGTTTTAGCATCTATTGTGTGCCAAAAGCACTATACTAGCCACTAGCTTCCCAAGTGGGTTTTTTCCATTGGCTTTTAAACACACTCAGGTCTCTCCCATACCCTCGATTTCATTCCACTTTAGTAACTATTTCCATCTTCCCCATTATAGCCAGCGAGTCTTCTCAAAAGAATTGTCGACACTCATTGTTTCCATTTCTTTACTTTCTCCTCACTCCTTCTCTAGCCCCTTCTTCTACTGAAACAGCTCCAGCTAAGATCACTAATAACCTCTGTATTAATTAACCTCTGTATTAATAGTGCTATTGCTATACAAAATAGACCACATAGTGAGCAAGCCACTGTTTTCTTCATTTGTAAAATAGAAGTTCCTTATCATTGCACATATCAAGAAAGATGTCGTAAGAATTGAGCTAATGCATATAAAATACTTAATATGTAGTAAGAGCTCTTGTATTAGTTTTTTATGAGTGTTATAACAAACCACAAACTTAGTGGCTTAAGACAACACAAATTTAATATCTTACAGTTCCATAATTTAGAAGTTTGAATTGGGTCTCACTGGCCTAAAATCAAGGTGTTGGCAGGCCTGTGTTCCTTTTTGGAGGCTCTGAGGAACAATCAGTTTCCTTACTCTTTGCACCTTTTAGAGGTCATTCACATTCTTTGGCTCATGGCACTCCTCCTCTCCTCCCTCTTCAAAGCCAGCAGCAGTGGGCAGAGTTCTCACATCACGTCACTCTGACTTCCTCCTCTGCCTCCCTCTCCCAAATTTAAGGACCCTTCCCATTATCTTGGCCCGGCCCAGAAGATCCAGAATAATCTATTTTAAAGTCAAATGATGGGCAATCTTAATTTCATCTGTAGTCCTAATTCCTCTTTGCCATGTAAGTAACACATTCACAAATTCCAGGGATTGGAACGCAGACATCTTTGGAGAGCCATTGTTCTGTGTATTGTAGCTCAGTAAATGGTAGATGTTAATCACTTCTTACTTGAACATATTTTTACTTTCATGACATGTTGCAATAGTGTCCCACTCTCTTTTCTTATAGACATATCCTACTCAGCCAGTGAAAGCTGGAGCTCCACAGACTGGGTCCTGGATTCTCTCCCATCTGTGTTCTACGTTCTCTTCTTGGATGATCTCATTCATTTCTGTTGTTCAAATTACTGTGCATTCATTGGTGACTCACAGATTTATGTCTCCAGGCCAGACCTGTTTCCTGACCCATGTACCCAACCACCTCTTTCATTTTCTACTAATTGTTTCTTTTTTCCTCAGAATTTTCTCCTTTATTGAATTAAGGAATGGATAATAATACTGCAAATCTAAAACTTATAGTGTAATGAAACAATATTGTTTTTTAAAAATATTTTATTGTTTATGCTATTACGGTTGTCTCTATTTTTCCCTCTTTGCCACCGTCCACTTCCATAGTCGGTCCCTACACCATTGTCTGTGTCCATGGGTCCTTTATGTATGTCCTTTGACTGATTAATCAGCCCCTGCATCTACCACTTGTTTCAAAGACACCTCAGATTCAGCCATACCAAGTTCTTGGTCCTTTCCCGACTGCCCTTAGGAAAAACTTCCACAACCTGGTCCTCTTGTGGTTCTTCTCTCAGCAAATGACTCCTCTATCCATAGAGGGGTTCATTTTGACACCTTCCTTGCCCTTCATATACAGTCATTTACCAAGTCATATAAATTTAACCAAATATTCTTTGAGTCTGTTTTTCTTCATCTCTATAATGACCATTTCACTCCAAGCTACCATCTTTTCCCGGTCTAATGTTATAACCTCCTGGTCTATATCCATTCCATCCCCCTACAAAATATTCTCAGTTCATTCAGTGTTATATTTTAAACATACATAAACAACAGTGAAGACAGACACTGCCTCTGCCCACCTAATCTAGTCCTTAACAGATACTGGACAGAGGATAGGAAAGAAAACGGTAGATTCATTCTTCTGCTGAGAGATACTAAGAGATCTCTTAGAGTCCAAGGATAGGAAAGCTCCCAGCTCTGGGTATAATGATGTGGGGAACTGATTTAAAAGACTGTGGGGCAGCTTTCTCTATTGGATTTTGTTAGTGTGACTCTAGAACTTGAGGTCTACTAAGAATCCTCCCTGGATTTGCTTAGATGGGTGTCATTTAGGTGAGTTTGCCTTTACTCTACTTTTACAGTGTGTCTGTTACTGAACAACCCCTCATTTAAACTACGCAGTCTTCAGATGTGCTCAATCAAGGTACTTTCTTTGCCTGTCTGCTGTGGATCATCATATTTTGTTCTATTCTTTAAAGTGTCTAATTTTCCTTATTTTTAAGTTCTAAGAATTGGAGATAGTTTATTTTTCTCTGCATTATCTATAAATATGGTACATGGTTATATTTAAAAATCCAAATATGTAAAAAAAGTCTTGCATTTTTCTGCACTACACAGTTTTATGTTCTTTTTTATCTGTGAACTGCTGAATTCTTTCAGAATACTTTTTTAGTATGAGGAAACTACTGTAACAGGATGAATGAGGGGACTTTTTGCAAGTACAGCAAGAATGATTGACTAAGCAGTAGAATAGGTACAACTGGAGGTTATTCTATGTAAGTTCTATTTTTAAAGTGTATTTTATTAATTATGTTAGTACAGTTGTCCCAATTTTTTCCCCTTTGCCCTCCTCCACCCAGTACGTCCCTTCCCTCCAACAATCCTACCACCCCCTTAGTTCATGTCCATGGATTGTGCAGATAAGTTCGAATACTTCTCCATTTCCTACACTGTTTTTAACACCTCCCACACCCCCTCTATTTTGTACCTAGCATTTATGCTTCTTAATCCCTGCACCTTTTACCTCATTCTCTTCCTTCCCCCTCCCAGCTAATGACCCTCCAAATGATCTCCTATCTATGATTCTGTTCCTGTTCTGGTTATTTGCTTAGGTTTTGTTTTTCAGATTCATTTGTTGATAGTTGTGAGTTTCTTCCCTTTTTAATGTTCATAGGATTTATCTTCTTTTTCTTAAACAAGTTCCCCTAATATTTCATGTATTAATGGCTTGGTGATGATGAACTCCTTTAGCTTTGCCTTGTCCGAGAAGCACTTAATCTGTCTTTCCATTCTGAATGATAGCTTTGATAGAGTAATCTAGGTTCTAGTCCCTTACTTTTGTTCACTTTGAATACTTCTTGCCAGTCCCTTTTTGCCTGCAAAGTTTCTTTTCAGAAATCAGCTGACAGTCTTATGGGAACTCCTTTGTAGGTAACTCTCTGCTTTTCTCTTGCTGCTTTTAAGAGTCTCTCTTTATCTTTAACCTTTGGCATTTTAATTATGATGCCTCTTGGTGTGGTCCTCTTTGGGTCCAACCTGTTTGGGACTCTGTGTGCTTCCTGGACTTGTATGTCTATTTCCTTCACCAAATTAGAGAAGTTTTCTTTCATTACTTTTACAAATAAGTTTTCAATTTCTTGCTCTTCCCTCGTCTCCTTCTGGCATCTCTATGATTCAGATGTTGGCAAATTTGGAGATGTCCCAGAGTCTTATACTGCCCTTGTTTTTTTTGAATTCTTGTTTCTTCATTCTGTTCTGATTGAATATTTACTTCTTTCTGCTCCAAATTGTTGATCTGAATCTCAGCTTCCTTCCCTTCACTGTTAGTTCCCTGTAGATTTTTATTTATTTCACTTAGTGTGACCTTTATTTCTTATTTTATGTTGTTGCCATGCTCAGTGAATTCTCTGAGCATCTTGATCACCAGTGTTTGGAACTCTGCATCTGATAGCTTGGCTGTCTCCATTTCATTTAGTTTGTTTCTGGGGTTTTGTCCTGTTCTTTCACTTGGGCCATATTTCTTTGTCTCCTCAATTTGGCAGCCTCCCTGTATTGCTTCTGTGTATTAGGAAGAGCTGCTTTGGCTCCCTGTCTCAGTAGTGTGGCTTAGTGTAGAAAAGGCACCTATAAACTTTGTGGGGAGAGCCGTAGGTAATTGCCAGGGTGAAGCAACCTGCCTCACTGTTTTGTGGCTCTGTGAGGGGGGGCTCGTAGAGGGGACCATGCTACTGTCTGGCTCCTGGAGGTTTGCCTAGCACTAGCCCCATTTCCAGTCACTTTGCCCACTCCCTGTATGTGACTGGCATCCTTCCAGTTGTTGCCCTGGTGTTGAATCTCAGATTGAGTGGGTTTGCATACATTTTAAGACCACACAGCCCCTTTAAACAGTATAAACAGATTCTTCTGAGAAATGGGCATTTTATTCCATTGTCTCAACCCCCACTGATTTTCAGAGCCAGAAGTTAGGAGGCTTCTCTTCCCAATGCTGGAACACTGGGCTCTGCGGTCTGGTTTAGGGCTGGGTTTGCTCGCTTCCAAGGTGTTCCTCCTGATTTTTACCTACCACACATGAATGTGGGAACACCCATACTGCTGCCGCCGCCGCAGCCATCTCTGCACTGTACTGTGTCCTCTCCACCTCAGTGCCCTGTCTGCCCCTCCTGCCTGTATGGATGAATGTGGCCTCTTTAAATCCTTGGTTGTTGGACTTCCACACAATTTGATTTTCTGGTACTTCTGGGTGTTTTATTTTTTGAGGTTAGTTATGATTCTTGTTGTGGTTGTGCAAGGAAGTGAAGCATGTCTACCTACACCTCCATCTTGACCAGAAGTCTATTTTACATAACTTCTTAATTTTCATTTTTTCATAGGCATGGTGAAAGGGTCAGTCTCAGCTCTAAGTGTGCGGAACTTGACCGAGAGATGATAAGTTCTCTTGGGGTTTCCAAGTCTGTGCTAAATAATGTTATTTTCTGTCATCAAGAAGATTCTAATTGGCCTTTAAGTGAAGGAAAGGCTTTGAAGCAAAAATTTGATGAAATTTTTTCAGCAACAAGGTTTGTAAACTTTAATAGACTTTGTAGCCCATTAAGTTATTAAACCATGGTTGCAATTTGGATATTTCTTTTTTAAAACACATGAAAATTTAAAGCATGAAAGTCATTATTACCTTTTACTCAGTGGCAACCAGTGGACATATTACCTTTCTTTTTTTTTTTTTTCTGTGCATCTTTATTTACTACATGGTTGACAGTGTATATATAACTTTTTCACTTACCATTATGTCATAAGCATTTTACGAGTTATTAAGAACTTTTAATAACTGTATAATATTTTATTTCATGAATATACTATTATTTACTTAGCCAGAAATTTATTTTTTATTTAATATCTTTGAAGGTACATTAAAGCCTTGGAAACACTTCGACAGGTGCGCCAGACACAAGGTCAGAAAGTAAGAGAATGTCAAACAGAACTAAAATATCTGAAGCAAAATAAGGAAGAAGCTTGTGAGATTCGTGATCAGATTACTAGTAAGGAAGCCCAGTTAACATCTTCAAAGGAAATTGTCAGATCGTATGAGAATGAACTTGATCCATTGAAGGTAATCTGATTCCTTTTATGCTAAAGAGGAAGTCACATTTTACCATGGTGCACTCATCCCTAAAGCAGTCATAATTTTATGAATTTGAATGATATATATATATTTCTTGAAAAAATTATCAGATATTATATAATGTTATGATCTAATGTCTTAGGTCTATATTAGTTGGTTAGTCTTAAAATTGTCCAAAGATCTTAGATTTGAGAGTAAATAAATTTGTGTTGTCATACTATGTTAGTAATGTAGATTCCTAATTGCTAATTATCAGTCTAATGACCTTGTGTAGAGTTAGTGTTCTTCAGGAGATTTTTCTTTAACTGACCAATCTTTCTAGGTAATTTTTATAATTTGCAGAATGTTCTTAAAATTGCATATATTAGAATTGCTGCATCATAACACATTGATATACACTCGTGCACCACATAATGATGTTTGTTGGGGTTTTTTTGTTGTTAACAATGGACCATATATATGACAGTGGCCCCATAAACATATGATAGCGCTGAAAAACTCCTACTCACTAGTGACTTTTTAGCTGTCCTACTGTCCTAACGGCAATGAGTTAGGAACACATTCACAGAAAGTGGGTATAAGTGGGCCTATGTGTTTCAAACCTGTGTTATTCAAGAGTCAGCTGCACTGTACCTTTTGTATGTTTAGATACACAAATATCATTGTGTTATAGTTGCCTACAGTATTCAGTACAGTAACATGCAGTGTACATTTGTAGCATAGGAGTAGTAGGCTATATCCTATGGCCTTGGTGTGTAGCCGGTCTGTGTAGGTGTACTCTGTGACATTTGCTCGATGATAAAATCACTTAATGGATTTCTCAGAACATATCCCCCTGTTAAGTAATGAATGACTATATTTGCAAATGAGTATATCTTTCCAAAATCTTTGGTTTATAAAAACCACAAATTTCAGTCTTTCATTTCACAATCATTTGGGTGTTTCCTGTGTACGAGGGTATACTGTGCTTTGGGCTATAGGTACAATGACTACTTTCCCCTTAAGGTATTCCTAATCTGAATAAGTATAAGAGCATTCATGAAAATGTCTATTTTCTAGGTTTCAGATGGTAGGGGTTTTTTTTGGAAAGTCATTTTAAAATTATTGATTTGGTTTTTTAAAACTCACTCATTAATACTGGTATGGATCTTTGAATTGTAAGTAAACTAGAAACTCTGGTTTTGTTTCTATCCCAGTGCCCATTGATATTAATGTATTCTTGAGTAAATATTTCTTGTTTTGTGTATAGCACTAGGCCAGGTGCTGGGATAAGGAAGCCAAAGACTTGGACGTTGCTTTTAAAGAACTTGGAGAAATAAGGAAACTTTTTAAAAATAGATTACAAAGAAGTAAATTGAAGAGCTACATGAATGATATAGTTTGGTATATAGGTTCTCTAGGAGATTAAAGATAGTAACTGCAATGTGAGAAAAAAAATAGATAAATTGTACTTCATAAAATAAAAAAACTTCTGCAAACTATACCATCAAGAAAGGAAAAAGTCAACCCACAAAATAGGAGAAAATATTTGCAAGTCATGTATCTAAAAAGGGTCCTGTATCTGGACATAAAAATAACAAACTTCCAAGGTCAGGATGGAGGCATAAGTAGACATGCTTCGTCTCCTTACACAACCACAAAAATAATTACAGCTTAATCTCAAAGCAAGTAACACCCAACTGTCAGAAAATCAATTGTATGGAAGTCTAACAACCAAGGATTTAAAGAGGCCACATTCATCTAGATGGGTAGGAGGGGAGGAGACGCAGAGACGGGTGGGGAGGCACTGGCAGCAGCAGAATGGGCACTGGCAGTCCCACATCTCATGTGTGGTAGATAAAAATTGGGGGATATCTAGGGAGTGAGCGATCCCAGGCCCAGCCCAGGGTTCCAGCACTGGGAAGATAAATCCCCATGACTTCTTGCTGTATAAACCAGAAGGGGTTGGAGTAGAGGAAGAAACTGCCAGATTTTCAGGAGACAGCTTAAAGGGCCCACACATACTCAGAACATACACAAACCCACCCAATCTGAGATTCAACACCAGGGCAACAACTGGAAGGATGCCAGTCACATACAGGGAGTGGGCAAAGTGACTGGAAATGGGGCTAGTGCTAGGCAAACCTCCAGGAGCCAGACAGTAGCATGGTCCCCTCTACGAGCCCCCCCTCACAGAGCCACAAAACAGTGAGGCAGGTTGCTTCACCCTGGCAATTACCTACGGCTCTCCCCACAAAGTTTATAGGTGCCTTTTCTACACTAAGCCACACTACTGAGACAGGGAGCCAAAGCAGCTCTTCCTAATACACAGAAGCAATACAGGGAGGCTGCCAAATTGAGGAGACAAAGAAATATGGCCCAAGTGAAAGAACAGGACAAAACCCCAGAAACAAACTAAATGAAATGGAGACAGCCAAGCTATCAGATGCAGAGTTCCAAACACTGGTGATCAAGATGCTCAGAGAATTCACTGAGCATGGCAACAACATAAAATAAGAAATAAAGGTCACACTAAGTGAAATAAATAAAAATCTACAGGGAACTAACAGTGAAGGGAAGGAAGCTGAGATTCAGATCAACAATTTGGAGCAGAAAGAAGAAGTAAATATTCAATCAGAACAGAATGAAGAAACAAGAATTCAAAAAAAACAAGGGCAGTATAAGACTCTGGGACATCTCCAAATTTGCCAACATCTGAATCATAGAGATGCCAGAAGGAGACGAGGAAGAGCAAGAAATTGAAAACTTATTTGTAAAAGTAATGAAAGAAAACTTCTCTAATTTGGTGAAGGAAATAGACATACAAGTCCAGGAAGCACACAGAGTCCCAAACAGGTTGGACCCAAAGAGGACCACACCAAGAGGCATCATAATTAAAATGCCAAAGGTTAAAGATAAAGAGAGACTCTTAAAAGCAGCAAGAGAAAAGCAGAGAGTTACCTACAAAGGAGTTCCCATAAGACTGTCAGCTGATTTCTGAAAAGAAACTTTGCAGGCAAAAAGGGACTGGCAAGAAGTATTCAAAGTGAACAAAAGTAAGGGACTAGAACCTAGATTACTCTATCAAAGCTATCATTCAGAATGGAAAGACAGATTAAGTGCTTCTCGGACAAGGCAAAGCTAAAGGAGTTCATCATCACCAAGCCATTAATACATGAAATATTAGGGGAACTTGTTTAAGAAAAAGAAGATAAATCCTATGAACATTAAAAAGGGAAGAAACTCACAACTATCAACAAATGAATCTGAAAAACAAAACCTAAGCAAATAACCAGAACAGGAACAGAATCATAGATACGGAGATCATTTGGAGGGTCATTAGCTGGGAGGGGGAAGGAAGAGAATGAGGTAAAAGGTGCAGGGATTAAGAAGCATAAATGCTAGGTACAAAATAGAGGGGGTGTGGGAGGTGTTAAAAACAGTGTAGGAAATGGAGAAGTATTCGAACTTATCTGCACAATCCATGGACATGAACTGAAAGGGTAGAGGGTTGATGGAAAGAAGGGAGGTAGAGGTCAGCAAAGGGGAAAAAACTGGGAATGCTATACTAGTATAATCAATAAAATATATTCAAAATAACATATATAACCTAATGAAATATGAATAACAATTTGAAATAATCTGAATGGATCTTTGAAGTAGATATGTATGTGTCCAATGAACATATGAAGATGCTTGATAACATTATCAGGAAAATGCAAATCAAAACTACAGTGAGATACCACTTAATACCCACTGGAATGAGTATAAATAAAAAAAGAAGTACTAAGTGTTGTTGAGGATATGGAGAAATTGGAACCTTCATACACGCTAGTGGGCATGTAAAATGGTACAGTTGCTTTGGAAAATAGCTTAGCAAGTTCCTCAAAATGTTAAACACAGAGTTGCCATATGACTCACCAATTTTACTCTGAAGTATTTTATACTCAAAAGATAAAACATTTTTACAAAAACTTATATAAGAATGTTCATAGCAGCATTACTCATAATAGCTAAAATATGAAAACAACACAAATGTCCATTAATAACTGGTCAATAAAATGTGGCACATCCATATACTGGATTATTATGTGGCCAGAAAAAGGAATGGAGTTCTCATATATACTACAACATGCAGAAACCTCAAAAATATGCCAAGTGAAAAAAGTCAATCACAAAAGACTGCATATTGTTCATTTCCATTTATTTGAAATGTCCAGAACTGGCAAATCTGTAGAGACAGAAAATAGATTAGCAATGGCCTAGGGTGGGAGGTAGAGGGGAATGAATAGTGACTGCTAATGGGTATGGAGTTTCTATTTGGAAACTGAAAATGTCCTAAGATTAGATTATGGTGGTGCTTGTACTGCTCTGTGAATACGTTAAGAAATGTTGAATTGCATACGTTTAATGGATGGATTGTATGGTATGTGAGTTATAGCTCCATAGTTCTGTTTGGAAAAAAAAGTGATGGCCTTGAATAGAAATCTGTCACAGGCCTTCAGAGAGGAAGCATGACTGAGCAGAGCCTTAAAGAATGGGGAAAATTAAATCAGCAGTTTGGAAGACATTTTATGTATGTTTGTATTTGCTTTGCATTTTTGTCTTTAATATATACTCACAATGGAAAAAAATAATAGAATTTTAGCTCAAAGTAAGAGATATTCTTCCTACTTATTGCCTTTGACCTCCCACATACATCCCAACAATAGCACTTTTTTCATATATGTATTACATATGTGCATATATTCATATATATGTGTATATATCCACACATAAGTTTATCAAAACAAGGTTGTGTGAGGAGAGCCTGGGTTAAGAAAATCAGGGTAAAAGGAGTGAGAGAATTGTGATGAGATTATGAAGAGTTGTGGATTATGAAGAGCTATCAGTTCAATAGACAGAAGAATGACAAAGAATGCTATATCTTTGTATGTGTTGTCTTCAGAATTGTGTGTAGCTACTGTGGTAATTACCAAGATATTGGAACACATCTTATCTTCTTCAGGAACAGCTTGGTTGGAAACATGACCAGCACACATAAGAAAAAGACTAGACCTGTAAGAGCTCTGAGCTCTCCAGAGAGTATTTTATGGGACTGAATTCGGGGTATGATTTTTTTAACCATGAATGGATAGTTAATTAGAGATGTATGGACAGTAAAAAGCAAGCCATTTTTTGAACACTACGAGGAAATTTATACAAGCAAAATAAGAGCTTCCATTTGTATGGAAACTAGGTCTAGATGAGGCTGCAACAATGCCTGGTATTTATTGAATGGTGCCAGGATTCTAAAGCTGTAGCAGACAGTGAGGTGTTTGTAAATATGTTGAATTTGACTACTTCTCCAAGGGTTTTAATCTTATTCTCTGTATCTTCAGAGCCTAGCCCAGTGCCTGGCGCATAGCAAGCAGGTCATTAGATATTTAAGTGGATAATTTCCAAAGTCCTTTTTTATCAGTGATACATGAGAACCCTTCTTTCGATAGAGGTCTGCATCAAGTTTGTGTCAAATCACCTTTTCTGCAGCCATCCAGAGACAATCTCATTGCACTGCTGCACTGTAATTCATGCTTCACCATTTTTATAGATGCCCTGCATCTTTAAGAACTCTCACATGAACTACTTTATTCCCATTCCACCCCATTTTATCCTGGCCTTGGCCCATTTAGCCCTGTTTTCCTTTCTTTAGTGGAAACTGCTTGAGAAATTAGTGTCCAAATTCAAAAACACGCTCTGACCCTCTTATTCTTCCAAACACAAGTTCATAGTCCCACCACCCCATTTGTTTGTCTCATTTCAAAGTAATGCCTGAGCTTTTAAACACTGCTATATTTTTCATTGCTTATAAATTGGTCTTAGCTCCTTTTATTTGGTTGTGTGCTCTGGGGATAGAGTCAAAACAGGTGTCAAAAAAGGAATCCATGGGAGCTGGTAACTGGATGGATTTTCAAAATGAGGCAGCTGGGGATGTCACAGAAGATCCAAACCCAGATACCTTTAACAGCATCCAGAGGCAGTGAAAACACTGATAGAAGCCAAGAAGTTTCTGAGAAGTAGAGTGCCACAGCTAGGGTATTAATGCAGGCACACCTTGGAGGTAGCGCAGCTTTGGTTCCAGACTACTGCAATAAAGTAAATTGTAATCTCTTTATTGGTGGAGAATCTTTCCAATTCAATTTGTAAAAAATGCAACTTCTGTGAAATGCCGTAAAGCAAAGTGCAATAAAAGGAGGCCTGCCTGTAGTCAGTGCTTTGAAGAATCAATCCCTTTCTCTTTGTTAGACTGAACACAGAGTTTTTTTCACAAGTGATGTGAACAGTCCCATTCATCGAGGGCCACCTGCATGTCAGTCACTGATCCACCTGCTTTAAAATGTATTATGTGAGCTTCACATTAATACTAAGGTTTTTAGGCAAGAAAACTGAGGCACAGGTATTCACATTGGAAAAGTGGTAAAGCTAGGATTGGAATCCAGGCCTCTCTGATTCCTAAGCCCATACTTTTTAAAGTCAGATTTATTGGAGTATAATTTACATGTAGTAAAATCTACCCTTTTAAAAGTGTTTAGTTCAGTGAATTTGGGCAAATGCATATAGTAGCATAACTACCACTACGGTCAAGATTTAGAACATTTACATCACCCTGAAAGTTCTTTGAAGTCTTTTTTTTTTTTTAAGATTTTATTTATTTTTAGAGAAAAAGGGAGCAAAACATCAATGCATGGTTGCCTCTGGTATAACCCCAGCTGGCGACCTGGCCAGCAACCCAGGTGTGTGCCCCTGACTGGGAATTAAACCGATGACCGTTTGGTTTGCAGGCCGGTGCTCAATCCACTGAGCCACAGCAGCTAGGACATCAAGTCTTTGTGGTCGATGTCTTCCCTCCCCTTCCAGCCCTTGGTGACCACCGATTGGTGTTCTGTCCGAGTATTGCCTTTTCCAAACTGTCACATAAATTGAATCATACGCCTTTTGTTTCTGGCTTCTTAGCCTGTTACTTTTAATTAATCTCTGTTGTTGCACATATGGGTAGTTATTCCTTTTCATTGCTGAGGTTATTCCACTCTCTGGGTATATTATGGTATGGCCATTGGTTCCCTGGTTGATGGATGTTAGGTTGTTTCCAGCTAAACACTAGTATTAGTTGTTTTTTATTTTAGCCATTATATTAGATACATAGTTGTATCTGAGTATTTTTTTCATTGTAGTTTTAATTTGCATTTTCTAATGTTTGTGGATGTTGAACATCCTTTTTATTTGTTTATTTGCCACCTGAATATTGTCTTTGGTAAATCATCTTCAATTCTTTTGCCTATTTTCAATTTTTTTGTCTTATGAGCTGAATATTAAAAGAAGTCTTCATACATAAGGTCTGTCCAGAATGCCCCATTGTTAATATAATGAGACCAGTTTGCATGACATCAGTAAAACATGGCAGCCAAAGAGAGTGGACTGAAATACACAGGTGTGAACAATGACGACTTCACTGTACTAGTCAGTGGGGGCAGTAGATGAGGTTGAGTGAGCATGTGTACTGTGTGGCTGTCGCGTTCAAAATGAGCGAGTAGAGCAACAAATCTGCATCAAATTTTGCATTAAGCTTGAAAATTCTTCTGTGGAAACTATTCTGATGACTGAGAAGGCAATAGCTATGGGTGTCTGGTCATTGGCAGCTTCATCACAACAATGCACCTACTCATATGGAACATATCTCATGCAGAGTTTTTTGGTGAAACATCAGTGGAGGGAAAATGCAGGCAACTGTAGTTGAAAAACAATAAAATAATTTTTAAAAGAAAAAGAAACATCAAGTCACTCAGGTAACTTAGCCCCTCTACAGCCCAGATTTGGCACCCCGTGACTTCTGGCTTTTCCCATAACTAAAATCACCTTTGAAAGGGAAGAGATTTCAGACTGTCAGTGAGATTCAGGAAAATACAGTGGGGCAGCTGATGGCGCTTGGGAGAACTGTGAGGTCCCAAGGTCAGTCCACTTTGAAGGGAACTGAGGCATCATTGTCCTATGTACAGTGTTTCCTGTATCTTGTATCTTCTTCAATAAATGTCTGTGTTTTTCATATTGTATACCCTTTGGACAGACCTTGTATTCTGAGTACAGGCCCTTATCAGCTACATATTTTGCAAATATTTTATTAACTGCCTTTCAGAGGGCAACAGTTTTTAGTTTTGATGAAATTCAGTTGATCAGTTTTTACTTCTGTAGTTTGTGCTTTTTGTTTTCTCTCTAGGAGATGTTTGCCTGACTTAAGGTCACAAGGATTTTCTTTTGTGTTTTCTTGACATTTTGTAGTTGAGTTCTTACCCTTAAGCCTGTGCTCCATTTCAGGTTAATTTTCTATATGGTGTGAGGTGAGGTTGAGGTGTTTTGCCTACAGATGTCCAATTGTTCCTAGCACACAGCCTACAGCCATAACCACTGCACAGTCCTGCCTTCCCAGTCTTGTCTTTTATTAAGTACATGGCTGTATACAAGTGAAGTCCTCCATGTCTCCTGCTTAGAGCATAGTCGTAAGGGTTAAAGAGAATGTGTAGCAGCACCTAGTACAATGCCTGCAATTTGGTAGGTATTTGGTCGGTGATAGCTATAACTTTAATTGTAAAATTACTTTTTAAAAACTTCATTCATTTCATTCAGCCAACATACTGAACATCTATTATATGTTCTTATGGTATATTAGTAAATAAAGTTCCTATTTTTATGGTAATTACATGCTGTTCATTAATATAGAAGTCACAAGAGATGGCCTTAATGTAATTTTATTAAATGACATTAAAGTTGGGGGTGCATTTTGGTGCAGCTTGGAAAGCTTACAGTTAATATCTAAAGCCCTATAGTAAGGTATTAATTTTAAAATTAGGTTCTACAGATGTCTTAGAAGAGGAATCAGTCAGCCTTGGAAATGTAGTGGCAAAGAGGGAAGACTATCTCCAGCATCATCCAATGAGAGAATATTCTGAGCCAGTTCACATATATTCCTAGCCTTTGAAAGATTAAATTTTAAAATGTGGTACTTTATGTAATGTGGCTCTGAGTGCCCAATTAATGATGACATGGGAGGTGTTGAAGGCAGGGCATGGGCTTCGGAGTTAGACTTGGAGTTTAGTGCCTGCTTTCCTTTACTAGCTCTGAGGACTTGGTCAAGTTGCTTCCTGTCTCTGCTCCTCAGGTCCTCTGTACCCCATTTACAGCAACATTAGCATTAAACAAGGTCACTCTTACTGAGGGCCTACCCCAGCATACCTTATTTCTCTTCATCCATCTATAGTGTAAACTATAAAGAATTTTATTTATGTAGAGTTCTGGTTTATTTTCAGACTCGTCTAAAAGAAATTGAACAAAATCTCTCTAAAATAATGAAACTTGATAATGAAATTAAAGCCTTGGAAAGCCGAAAGAAGCAAATGGAGAAAGATAATAGTGAACTGGAACAGAAAATGGAAAAGGTTTGTGGTAATACAGTTCTACTTCAAAATTCTGGGATTATTGTAGTGAACCTCATTTTGACTCCATTTCGCCACTTATTTTAAAAGAAACCTACATATTGTGATGTTTGTCTTCCATGTGTATGTTAAAAGGAAAGCTATCGAATGCACTTTGGTTTGTGTTTTGTACCTCAGAGTGCTGTCTTCTTACACTTGTTCATTAAAGCTCTTTATTTTTGTTTCATGTAGGTTTTTCAAGGGACTGATGAGCAACTAAATGATTTATATCACAATCACCAGAGAACAGTAAGGGAAAAAGAAAGGAGATTGGTAGACTGTCAGCGTGAACTGGAAAAATTAAATAAAGAATCGAGGCTTCTCAATCAAGAAAAATCAGAACTACTTGTTGAACAGGGTAGGACAAAGTATTTACTTGATCTTAGTGTAATATTAGGCATTTTTGGCATGAATGAAGAATCTCCAGGGAATTATGCTAAGTGAAAAAAAACAGTCTCAAAATATCATATACAGTGTGTTTCCATTTATGTAACATTTTTGAAATGCCAAAATTTTACAAATGAAGGATAGATTTGCTGTGGCCAGTATGGGTACAATGGTTGGAGCATCATCCCTTAATTGAAGGGGTTACAGGTTTGATTCTTGGTCAGGGCACATATCTAGGTTGTGGGTTCATCCCCAGGCTGTGTGCATACGAAGGCAATCAATCAGTGCTTCTCTCACATTGTCATCTCTCTCTTTCCAAAAAAAAACAAATGAAAATATCCTTGGATGAGGATAAAAAGAGAGAGAGAGAGAGAGGAGAGACAGATTAGTGGTAGCTAGGGTTACTGAGTAGGGGGAGGGACAGGAAAAAGGTTAGTGTGTTTATGATTATAAAAGCATCAAGAAGAGTTCTCGTGGTATTGGAACTGTTCGGTGTCTTGACAGTTGTGGTAGAGAGATAAGCCAGTGCACACAGGTGATACAATTGCATAGAACTCCACATGCACACATGCAGTACAGATGTGTGCAAGCAAAACTGGGGAAATCTGAATAATACTGAGGGATTGTATCAGTGTCTGTATCCTGGCTGTTGTACTATAGCAGGTCCCCTAATAACTGTTAACAATGTTTTTGAGATGCATAGGAACTTAACTTTTGTCTATATCAAGTAGTCTATGGTAAATTTGATTCCATTATCTGTCATTTCACTTAAAGTTGCAGAATCTATCCATGACCTTACGTGAGGACTTAACTTTATAGTTTTGCAAAATGTTACTAAAAGAAAACAGTTGTCTGCTCACAATAACTCTGACACCAGGTGTGTGCATTTTTTCATACCAAGCAAGACTCCAATTCTTGGCAACTAGATGTCCTGTAATTTAACTAGGTTCTAACATTAACTGTCCAGAATTAGTACAGACCCCACAGATTAAGGTCTCAATCCACAAGACTGCCTCCTACTTCCAGTGCCGGTTGTAAGGTCCAGGTTGTCTGTCATCTGTATTTCCAACCAAAGTACTGTAAGTCACATATTTCCACAACCCCTTCCTCAGGTTCAGTAGTTTGCTATAGCAGCTCATAGCACGCAGGGGAACACTATTACCAGTTTATTGTAAAGAATACAGCTCAGAAGCAGCCAAAAGGAAGAGATGCAAAGGGCAAGATATGGGGAAGGGCTGTGGCCCTCTTCCTGCACCTCAGTGTGTTCACCGGCCTGCAAGCTGTCTGAACCTCATTGTTTAGGGGTTTTATGGAAGTTCCATTATATAAACATGATTGATTATATTATTGGCCATTAGCAATTGAACTGAATCTTCAGCTTCACCCCAGAGTTGGGGGAGAGGGTACTGAAAATTCCTACTCTGTAATCCATAGTTGGTTCCAGTTCCCATCTTCCAGGAGACAGCTGGTTAGAATAAACTCAGGTGTGGTTGAGAGGGACTTACAGTGACTAACAAGACACTCCTCTTGCCTCTGTCACTCAAAAATTCTTAAGAGTTTTAGGATCTCTGTGTCAGGAATGAGGGGCGCAAAGACCAAACTGGGCAAAGAATGTAAGAGATTTTGCTGTATTATTTTTTTACAACTGTATGTGAATGTATAATTATCTCAATTTTTTTAAAATCAGCTAAAAACAAATTATGGTTTTTAAGGTCGTCTACAGCTGCAAGCGGATCGGCATCAAGAAAACATCCGTGCTAGAGATTCATTAATTCAGTCTTTGGCAATACAGTTAGAATTGGATGGCTTTGAGCGTGGACCATTCAGTGAAAGACAGATTAAGAACTTTCACAAACTTGTGAGAGAGAGACAAGAAAAGGAAGAAGAAACTGCCCACCAACTGATGGTAAATATCATTATTTTCTTTTGTTTGTGTCAGATTCTGTAGTTGAATTGTTTTAATCTTTGGATGGGCCTTATTTTGTCTTATTTTTGGATTAACGTTAGGATAGAATCTGCTAAAACGTAGAAGAAACCTTTATGGAAGCACTCTTTTTAATGTATATAAGGTTAAAAATATGGAAGACAATGCAGACCTACATTTTTTGGTTTTAAATACAATTTTTAAAGCTACTGGTAAAGAAAAAGCTTATTCAGACTTAATGATTATCTCTGGTTGATTTTTCCTTAGTGTGCATATAATACTTTTACAATGAAGAACTTTTGCTTAATGAATTGTTTAATGAAAAATTGTTAATACTCATTCTTATATGTATCTAGAATGACTTTGCAGAGAAAGAAACTCTGAAACAAAAACAGATAGATGAGATAAGGGATAAGAAAATTGGACTGGGAAGAATAATTGAGCTAAAATCAGAAATCCTCAGTAAGAAGCAGAACGAGCTGAAAAATGTGAAGTGCGAATTACAGCAATTGGAAGGATCTTCAGACAGGATTCTTGAACTGGACCAGGAGCTCACAAAAGCTGTAAGATGTAATGTTTTAAGGTGTAAGACATTTAGAATCTTGCATTTTGAAGTATCTGTTGTGAATCCTAAGATTATGGCATGTTAACTAAAATATCAATCTTGTTTAACGATCCCATGTAAAATGAATTTATCCAAATATCTTAATCACTCAGCTCTTTGGTTCTGGAACTCAGTGGATTAAAACTTAGAGTCACCTAGGAAGCCTTTAGAAAATACTTATGCTTTGAGCTTACTTAAGACCTCCCAAATCAAACTCTCTAGGGCATGGAAATGTGCATTCAAAACTAGGTTATTCTTATGAATTATGTTAGTTAAGAATCACTTAAGTTAAAAAAACAAGTACTTTTCCCATCTGTTTTCATGAATTTCTAAATTTTCTTCCTTATTTCTAATCTGTTCCCTCTTGTCTTTACCACTAAAGTAAGCTTCCTAAAGCTTGGTAGATTCCCCTCTCAGATCCCATTTTGATCATTTAAATAAATACTCCTTTTTGCTTCCTAACTTAACATCTAGTGTACGTTTTTGTCAGTGTAGCCTTTCATCATAACGTTGTCTTGTTGTGATGGGGAGGCATTGTCAGGGCCAGCCTGACTCTGTTTTTATAGCCTCTTTGTGCCAGGCAGTGCAGTGTGCTACACGGGTGCTTGATAAATACTCACGTATTGACTGGAGAGTCAGGAAACTATATGTTAATACTCAGACACATTTCTCTTAATTTTTCCCTAATTCTCATTCTCTCTTGCCCTCCCCCCACCCTTCGACCCTTCCAGGTTTATTTACTAATTCTCTAGTATTATAACATAGTAAGGTAACTTCATGATTTTTTTAAAAATCTTACTCATACTTATGTTGTTTTTTGTCTGTTGGATAAAAGCAAACTAATATTTTGACATTTGGCGTAAGTTGACTTCTGGTACACTTTGTCATTGTCTTAACACATTATATAAACCTGTGCATTTGTTTGAATTATTGATAAGGAACATGAGCTTAGCAAGGCTGAGAAAAACAGCAATGTAGAAACTCTAAAAGCAGAAGTAACAAGTCTTCAAAATGAGAAAGCCGATCTAGACAGAATCGTGCGTAAACTGGACCAAGAGATGGAGCAGCTGAACCATCATACAACAACGCGCACCCAGTTGGAGATGCTGACCAAAGACAAAGTATGACCTTTCTTTTTCTTCTAATTGTACTTTCCCGTATTGTAAATAGCTTATCTTACATTCATAATTAGGGCTAAGTGAGCTTAATACTCTATAAAATATACTTCCAAGCTTAAAAACTATTTTTTGATTATAAAAAATTCATAATGCAGAAGTATATACACAGAAATACACGTGTGCATTATTGTTAATTTTTACATCTTATACAGAAGTTTTAATTTTCATATCATTAGACTTGTTACTCTTTTCTCCTATGGTTTAGAAAGGTCATCTCCCCTCTAAGACTTTAAGAAATTGTATCTTCTGGACTGACAGAGGGAATGGGGGTTACCAGGTGGAAGGCAGCAAAGGGGAAAAATTGAGACAACTGTAATAGCATAATCAATAAAATATTATTTTGAAAAAGAAATTGTATCTTTTCTTGCAGTTTTAAGCCTAGAACTTTAATCAATCTAAAATTTTTTTTGTTCTTGATATAATGTTGAAATAGTGAATTTTTTTTTAACATTTTTTTTCTATAGGCTGATAAAGATGAACAAATCAGAAAAATAAAATCTAGGCACAGTGATGAATTAAATTCATTGTTAGGGTATTTTCCTAACAAAAAGCAGCTTGAAGACTGGCTTCATAGTAAATCAAAAGAAATTAATCAGACCAGGGACAGGCTTGCTAAATTGAAGTAAGTAATAGAAATGTAATAGAAATCTATTTCATGCTTCCATTTTTAATTGTTCCAAAATCATTTATTGTCATGAAAGGGTATGTCTCGTTAATTGACTTTGGTTCTCCTGTATTTTACAAAGCAAGTAAAATGATAATGGATAGTGATTTGGGGGCTTCTTGTTCCTTGAAAGTTTGTAGAATTAAGTGAGAGGATTGATTAAACTGTTAAAATCCTTCTTTATAAAAAGTGAGACCTGAGACTATGAGACACCTAAAAGGAAACGTAGGAGAAAAGCTTCATTATATTGAAATTGGCACACATTTCTCAGATATGACAACAACAGGATAGTCAGTGAAAGCAAAATAGACCAGTAGGGCTACATCTCACTTAAAAATGTCTACACAGCAAAAGAAACAGTAAACAGGGGGAAAGTCCATCTGTGGAAGGGGAGATAATATTTGCAAACCATGTATCTGATAAGGGGTTAATATCCAGAATATATAAAGAACTCTTACAACTCAACGATAAAAAAAAGTAACTGGGTATTTTTTAATGAGCAAAGGACTTGAATATATATTTCTCCATAAAAGATATACAAATGGGCAATGAGCATGTGAAAGGATACTCAGTATCACTAATCATCAGGGAAATGCAAATCAAAACATTTCACTTCACACGGGTTAGGATGGCCACTATCAAAACCAGAAAGTAGCCAAGTGTTGTTGAGAATGTTGAGAAACTGGGACTCCTGGGCACTGTCAGTGGGAATGAAAAATGGTGTAGCTGCTATAGAACACAATGGGAAGTGTCGAGATGAAGTGCGTGTGCACTCACACACATTTATCCGAAACAGACTTCTCAAAAGAGTGTCCTACCAATGTACAGTCCACTCCAATACATGGGTATTCTGTTCTGTTTCATTTTGTTAAAATGTGCTGAGGTGTTCATTAAATTGATTGTATGACTTGACTTATAACCTATAAATTAAGAAATTTCCATCTGTGTGGACAGGGAGGTTGGCTAGGATGAAATTTAAGAGTTGGAGTGGAGCTCAGTTGTACTAGTGAGCAAAGTCTTTGAATGAAAAGGAATGAATGATCAAGACATAAGTAGATGACAGTTAATAAGGAGGGGACACAGGAAAAGTTTACAGGAAGTAGGGAAGTGATTGTGAAGAGATTCGAAGGGAATTAGGAGGACGTTTCCCCTTCTCTTCCTCCAGTAGACCCAGCAAGCGCATTCTCCTCGCTGGGGCTCTTACCTTGAATTACAAGACCATGCACGCTCAGAAACCAGGCAGAACCCCGCCTGCACTACATGTGTCTCTGGGAGCAGGCCTGTGACCAGTGATGGCAAGTGAGTCTGAATCCAAGGGAGAGAGTTCAGGCGGAAGTGATTGTTGCCAGAATTTCTAAAGGAACGTACTTGGTCACAGCAAACCTTGTAATATTTGTTGGCAGAATTTGTCTTATATCTACCTACTCAAACTTTTCAGACTCATTTCTCATGTTTTAAAATTGTTGTCCATATTTATTCTTATTTTATAGCAAGGAACTAGCTTCAGCTGAGCAAAATAAAAATCATATAAATAATGAGCTAAAAAGGAAGGAAGAGCAGTTGTCCAATTACGAAGACAAGCTGTTTGATGTTTGCGGTAGCCAAGATTTTGAAAGTGATTTAGACAAGCTTAAAGAAGAAATTGAAAAATCTTCCAAACAACGAGGTAAGTTATACCTGCTTTATATCAAGTCACTGTGACACTTAGGAATTTTCATTGACAGGTAACTAAGGATGGGAGATTTAAAAACTTGGTCCTGGCACCAATGGCTTAACTTTTAGTCCTGGTTCTAGAACTTAACTTGCTGTGTGACTTTGTGCAAATTATTGAAACCTTCCTATACTTCAAATTCATCATCCAGGGACATAAATATCTACCACCTAGGCTGTTACAGAGGAGGAAATGAGATTACAGATATAAAAATCTTAGAACAGTTTCTGGCACATAATTAGCTCTAAAATTTTATACTTTTTATGTTTTATCAGAAAATAATTTATACAAATCTGAATGTATCATGGTAGCCAGGATTTTGAAAGTGATTTAGACAGGCTTAAAGAAGAAATTTAAAAATTGGGAAAAATATTTAAATATCAGAGAATTTTAAAAAATTAATGTGTTTATAAAGCAAGAAGAGTAATCATATACTTAAGAGGTTGTAACTATATTGACAAAACTGTATTTTCTCCTCACTGGAAATATATTTCTTTTCTTAAAATAGCCATGCTGGCTGGAGCCACAGCAGTTTACTCCCAATTCATTACTCAGCTAACGGACGAAAACCAGTCCTGCTGCCCCGTCTGTCAGAGAGTTTTTCAGACAGAAGCCGAATTACAAGAAGTCATCAGTGATTTGCAGTCCAAACTGCGGCTGGCTCCAGATAAACTCAAGTCAACAGAATCAGAGCTAAAGAAAAAAGAAAAGCGGCGAGACGAAATGCTGGGGCTCGTGCCCATGAGGTGAGGCTCGGCCTGCTGCATCACTGCGGGGGTAGCAGCAGCAGCAGCAGCGCTGCAGGGGTTCCGGTCCAGTGCCTGGCACGTGGTGGCCGCCCACGGCACGTGCTGATGAGTCCCGGCTAGAGGCAGGATGCTGAGCCAGTGCGCCCTGTCTCGTGTTGTATATATGACAACAAGAAACCCTTACCTTGTTTCCTTTTTTGTTTTCTTCTAAAGATAAATTTGCTTCGTAATCTAGTCACAGGGCAGACAGGTAAAATTGCGCCTGTGTGTGTGAGTGTGTTTAATTCCTTAGGCTTGGCTTGAGGGCAGAAATTTTGATAGATTTAGAACTGTTTGCTGATAAGTGACTTTATACATTCAGCAAAAGATTTAAAGTACTGAAAAGCTCTCCCAGGAGGCAGATTTTAAACTGTATTTTGTCTTTCCCACCTTCTAAAAGAAGGAATCCTAGATGATTTCTATTCTTTATCTTTCCCCATGCTTGTGCAAGAAATTCAGATGATGGTCTATTTATAAATCAAGTCAAATCAGAAAGTGTGTCATGATTGCCAGGGTATCTCCCAGACAGAGCTGGTCATAGAGACCAGTAAGACATGATGTCCTGAAGAAGGAGACGAGCTTTCAGAATTGGATATTTAGGAAGCTGGACTTAAAATAAAGGGTTTAATTAGTTCAAACAAATACATTATTTTAGCAGAGAGAGGCCAGTGGACTACAGAGTGAGAATAGGATTTTGAGAACAAGATGGGAGGGGGCATGTAAACCACGGGGAAGGAAGCTGGTTCATTCAACTCAGTTTAGAAAAGGAAAGAGAGAGAGAAGTGAGAACAGTGTGTGTAAAGGGACAGAGAAAACGACCTGTGCTGCAGTAGAACGTATCTGGAGTAGAGAGTTATCTGTAGGGACCGAGTCCCACAAACTGGGAAGATAGAACTATATTGTGTTCAGGGCTGGTTACAGCTCCTTCTGATTGTGATGAGGAGCTGTTCTGAGGGATTTGATCAACAGTGTATTTTAGGAAAAGTAATCTAAAGTTAACGTATTGAATGGAGGAGAGAGAGAAGAACTGTGGAAGCGGGAAAACTAAAAGGATCTGTTGTCCCGGAAAACCAGAGAGGAGTTTTAGGAAAAGCAGGAAATGTTTAAGAACATGTGCTGTATGTTTGCCAGCCTTCAAGATGGTCCCCAGTGTTCCCTGCTTCCTGGCATTCACAGTTCTGTATAAGCTGCCCTCACATTCCAGGACTGGCCTGTGTAGCTGGTAAAATACGACAGCAGTGATAGCACATATGTCCCTTCCAGGATTAGGTCATGTGGGGCACTCAGGCTTCCTGCTCCCCTTTTCTCTCTCTCGGATCTGGGGGAAGCCAGCGGTCATGGTGTGTGACAAGCCCTGTGGAGGGACCCACTTGGCCTTTGAACAACCATTTGGAAGCAGCTTCTCTAGCGGTTGGACCTTGGTAGCTGCAGCCCTCAGTGTCAGCTTAACTGCAGCTTCAACAAGAAACCCAAATCAGTACCCAGAGAGCTGCTCCCGATTCTCACATCTGTGAGAAATACGTGCTGTTGCCTTAAGCTGCTAACTTTTGGGCTGTTTCGTTATGTGGCAACAGATAGCTAATATAATCATGAAGGGTAAAGCCAGACTGTTGCAGACTACAGTGAGAACGCAACATGGAGACAAAAACAGTAGTTTATGAATAAAAAGGAAAAGGAATAAAACTATCTTGAAAAGCAAAAAATCAAGTAAAGGTAAAATTTAAGGCTGGCAGAAAGTGTATGTCAAGGAAATAGGAGCTTTGTTCTGTGTCATACTGATAAATTATAAACAGCAGAAGTCAGCACTGCACAGTATTTCCGGACCCTTGCCATCAGGGCCTCCCTTCTCAGAGGTAGGCGCCCGATACCTGCCTTACTGGTGTAGTTTCCTAATTCTTTGTGTATTGTAACTTTGGTAACTATTTGCTGAGTGAATGAGAACTGCAGTATCTGTTCTACTTATTCATTAATGTGTAACAAATCTCCTTAAACTTAGTGCCTTACAATGATGATGATGACTTTTCATGGTTCTGTAGAATGATTGGGCCGAACCGGGTAACCCTGTCTTGGGGCCTTTCATGCAGTTGCAGTTAGACATTGGCCGCCGTTATCTCCAGGTTCTCCCAGGCGTGGTGGTGTTCAAGACGGCTCACTCTCAGGGCCAGTGGCGATGCTGACTGTTGGCTGGGAGCCAGCTGAGGCTGTCAAAACAGAATGCCTTCACATGGATTCCTCATGTGTCATGAGCTTTTGGCAGTATGTCTAGTGGCCAGGTTACCAGAGGAGGTGTCCTAGCAGCAAGTATTCCAAGAGAAGCTTTCCAGTAAGTCCATTAAGGCCTGAGCCCGAAAATGGGCACAGTGTTACTTCTGCCATTTCTGTTGGTCAAGGTAGTCACAGAGCCCACCAAGATTTAGTGAGTGGACCCAGACTGTGCCTCTCAATGACGGGAGTGGGATATTTGTGAGCAACTTTTCCCCTCTTTGTTAGAAAGGAACATCGGTTTGTTGTCCCACTTACTTTTATTTATGTGTTCAGTGTTTAACTCTTGTACCGACTGGGGGTCCAACCTGCAACCTGGTCATATTGGGACAACACAGGGCTTCGGCCAGCCCAGTACACATGACACCCCAGGATCTGGAGTGGCACCTGCGTGCTGTTCTGGTTGCTGCACTGAAAATAACCTGAAGCTAAAAATTAAATATGTGGTCAGTCAGGTGTCGATAGTACTGTGGAGAACAGTACAGCAGCATAAGAGCATAGAGACTATGGAAGGGGTGTTAGGAGGGGAGCGAGCACCTGGTGAAGCAGGCATCTGAGTGGAGACCTAAGAGAAGTGAGGGAGCCTCCCAGACAGCACAGACTCCTTGAGCCTGTCTGACCTGAATGCCAGGGGAGAACGTGGTTGAAGATGAGCTCAGAGAGGTAGTAAGGAGCCAGATTTTGGTTATTCTCTTTGAGGAAAAGAATACCTTCATTTAAAGCCCCAAACTTACAAACACTTAATGTAAGAGCACCATCATGAGTAAAATGTCAGATGAAAATATACCTGTTTTTTTTTTAAATCCTCACCCAGGGATATGTTCATTGATTTTTAGAGAGTGGGAGTAGGAGGGTGGGGGAGAAAGAAATATCGATGTGAAAGAGAAACATCTATCAGTTGCCTCCTGTACACGCCCTGACTAGGGATTGAACCACAAGTAGGTATGTTCTCTGACTGGGAATCAAACCTACAACTTTCTTGTGTACAGGACAACACTCCAACCAACTGAGCCACCTGACCAGGGCTGAAAATACATCTGTTTATCATTTTGCTTAGTACTGACTCAGTTTCATGTATTACAGCACTACATTTAAATAAAAGCTCAACTATTTTTCCCCATTTCTCCAAAAGGTGTTTTTGGTACCACATCTGTGCTGGTCCTTTTTACATACAATCCTTTTGGAAGAGAAATGTCGTCTTAGAAATAGATAAATTTGTGAGTTTTTTGAAAAAATTTTAAAACAAAACAACTCTAATAGATCTCAGTAGCCCATTCTCTCAGGAAATATCTTGACTTTTGCTTAGAATACTTAATTTTAAGCATCTTAGGTAGTCATCAAAGGCACCACAGCCTGGGCCACAGCAATCAGGGATTTTTTGTGTGCACGTAAAATAGGGTGAAGACTGTGAATGGGTGCCTGTTGTTCTCCACAAAACGTCCCCAGTCAAGCGAATGGTCGGTTGTCATTTGACTATCATAGCTGTGTCACTTTTAAGGTACTGGGCCATAATTTAAAACCAACTTGTGCCCTGGCTGGTGTAGCTCAGCGGATTAAGCGCTGGCCTGTGAACCAAAAGGTTGCAGGTTTGGTTCCCAGCCAGGGCACATGCCTGAGTTGCGGCGGGTCCCCAGCAGGGGGTGTATGAGGGGCAAGTGATCATTGCTGATCACTGTATCTCTCACAGGTTAATGTTTCTCTTCCTTTCTATCTCCCTTTCTACCCCTCTCTCTAAAGTAAATAAATTTTAAAAAACCTTACAATCTATGACCACAACATTTAGGAAGTAATGTGAGCATGGAATTATTCATAATCTGCATACCTTCATATTTACTTAGGGAATTTTTTCATTTCTTTCATGATTTCTTAGTCATAGTGTGGACTTTTAAAAAATAATTAAGTATTCAGGAGCTAACTTTTGAGTCTGTAGTTTTTCCTTTGGTTTAAGACTCCCATTAGAAACCAATTTAATTTATTGTACTAATTTAATTTAATTAAGAATTTAGAATTTTTTTTAATCCTCACCCAAGAACATGCTTGTTGATGGTAGAGAATGGGGAAAAGAGAAAAAGAAGGAGAGAAGCATTGATATGAGAAAGAAACATAGATTGGTTGACTTTCATACAAGCCCCAACTGGGGACCAAACCCACAGGCCAGGCATGCGCTGGGACTAGGACTTGAACCTGTGACCTTTCAGTTTGCAGGGTGACACCCAACCGAGTCACAGTGGCCAGGGCAAGAATTTGGAATTTTTCAAAATAAACTTGATAACTTTTTCAAAAGATAAAATGCAAGTTTTATTCTTTCAGAGGTGTCAGCTTCATAAATTATATAAATGTCTATTTATTATGTTGTGTACCTGGAACTAATATAATATTGTATGGCAATCATAATTGAAAAACATGTTCTACAAAGGACACTAAACCAAGAAAAGGAGGAATCGTATGAGAAAGGCAAGCTTAAGTGGTAAATTGGGTGTTAATGAAGTAGCTGTAGACATTCAGAGAAGGGGGACATACAGCTAAAGGTGGTTTTGAGAGGAGACCCCACAGGAAGAAGGACGAGACTGGCTTGCAGATCGGGTGGGATTTAATAAGCTGCTGGGCAGGGACATTTTTCAGTGTTAGGGAATAGCTCTCTTCTGTGGGCCCAGATCACCATGGACATCTTGAATTTAGAAGGCAAAATGGGGAAAATTCTCCCTAGTTAACTCTGGGCTGCCAAGGTGCACCCATAGTTTTCAGTGTGAATTGTGACTACTCTTATTATTTCTCTATTTAACCCTAAAAGGGTTTATTAATAAGATAATGAGAATGAAAAATAGTATGTGTGTGGGGCTGGTACCTGCCACATCAGCCTGAGTAGTAACAGTAAACCGGGTGACAGCTTTTGTTCCATAAACCGTGTAGCATCTGGCTGAGTGATTTCCTTCCTTTTTTCATCATTTAAAAAAACTTTTTATTTTGAAAAAATGTTAGCTTTATGGAAAAATCACAAAATTAATATGGAGAATTCACATATACCCTTCACTTAGTTTCTCCTGATGATTAGAATTTATGTAACCATGATACAGCTATCAAGAGATTAACATTGTAATAATGCTAGTAACTAAATTACAAATCCTATTTCAATTTCAGAAGACTTTTCATTTACATCCTTTTTCTGTCCCAAAGTCCAACCCCCGATCCCACACTGCATCTAGCTGTTATCTCTCCTCAGGTTCCTGTTGTCTGTGACAGTTCCTCAGTCTTTATCTTTCATACTCTTGACACTTTTAATGAGTGTGATCAGTTAATTTATAGAATACCTGTTTGTCAGACAGCACGGTAATAATTGTTGCAAGCAACATCTTCCAATGGATACTAAAATCATTGGGCAGAATTTTCAGGAGAAACAGAATATTTATATAGTTTCATTCAGTGTATCTCTCTTAAGAAATTGATTAATTACAAAAAGGAAAATAGTAACTTTACAATGGGTGGGTCTGGCTAACCCCATCTTAACCAAATGAGTAAGTTGAACATCTTCAGTAAGAAGGCACACTGATACGTCCCCACCGATGTGATGCTCTGAGAAGGACACATGTCACTTCTAGGATGTTATTGCCAAAAATACATAACCTCAGTCTCATTACGAGAAAACATTAAATGGCTTATTTTTAATTGTGTGTTTTTTGTTAAGGCAAAGCATAATTGATTTGAAAGAGAAGGAAATGCCAGAATTAAGAAACAGACTGCAGAGTGTCAATAGAGACATACAGCGCCTAAAGAATGACATAGAAGAACAGGAAACACTCTTGGGCGCAATAATGCCAGAAGAAGAAAGCGCTAAAGTGTGTCTGACAGATGTTACAATTATGGAGAGATTTCAGGTACGTTTATTGCAATTTGGGGCAGAATAAAATCTGTTTCATGGTGGTTTGAATGTGAAGTGTGAAAATGTCAAAAACAGTGGCTGGTATTCAGGTACAGATCATGGTTAGAGTTCCCCCATCCTGAATTATTCAGAAATTAAGAAACATAGGTAGTAGTTGTGTTTGTTTTCATTTTTACTCTGCTTCCTTTTGCTTATGTCAGTGAAATTATTAAAATTAACTTCATTTTCATGTTATTAAACTTTGTTTAAATTATATCTGAAAACAGTTATAAATTGCAATAAGTTTCTTAAAGAAAATAACTTTGTTTTATTCTTAAGATGGAACTTAAAGATGTTGAAAGAAAAATTGCACAACAAGCAGCTAAGCTGCAAGGAGTAGACTTGGATAGAACTGTTCAACAAGTAAATCAGGAAAAACAAGAAAAACAACACAAATTAGATACAGGTAATATAGTCTTGTCTCCTCATGTACCCATTAAAGACATCAACATTTCCAGCTTATGCTTTTTGCCATACATTTTACACCTGTTACATGGACAACGAACTGCCTGTCTTCCAGTCCACAGTATATTCATTTTCTTTGCTCAAAAGCATCACTTCTCCTCTGTTTCCTTGCTTTGCACAACAGATTTTGAGTGATGAGTATCAAATGAGGTGTACTCTTAATCATATCTGCCCTGTGAGCCTCACCTGTGAGTGGTCAGCAGGTGACAGAAAGCTTATTTGGGGGCTTAGAAGGGTCCTAGTGGCACTTTTCTTGTAGTGGGTAGGACCCATAGAAACTCGACTGTGAATTCCATCGGCCTATAAACCTGGAAGGGTGCTGCTCATAGCATTTTCTGTACTCTTACATTAATCACTGTGTTCATATATTTTTTGCAGTTTCTAGTAAGATTGAATTGAATCGTAAGTTTATACAGGACCAGCAGGAACAGATTCAGCACCTGAGAAGTATAACAAATGAACTTAAATCGGAGAAACTTCAGATATCCACTAACTTACAACGTCGTCAGCAACTGGAGGAGCAGACTGTGGAGTTATCCACCGAAGTTCAGTCCTTGTACAGAGAGATAAAGGTAAGAACATTTGTACATGTTTGTTGTTTTTTTTAATTGGTTCAAATGTATGGAATACTCTTTATTTGTATAGTGGCTAAAATTCTGGTTATTGTGAGGATAAAAGGAAAATGGTACAGTAACTCTTCATGTGGTTCGTGGGTGACAGGACCCTTGTACTCACAGGTGAAGTTTTCCGGGAGAAGGATTTTGGTCATAACAGGAGGAACTGGCTGCCTGAGTACTTTAGTGGTGAATTTCCTGTTGTTGGGGGGGGTCAGGTGGTCTGGCTAACTCCATATGAAGACTCCTGCATACGAGGTTTGTCTTATCTACAAATTCTGTACCCACAGTAGACACTGCCTTAGTCATAGCACTTTTTTTGTTTAATTTCTGATGTAGTCTTCCCCAAATAGTAATAGGCTTTGAGTTGGCACATAGAATGGAACCTATTTGGAATCCCTCATCTGATTAATCAAATCTAAGACATAACCAGTTAAGTTTTTGAACAATTTTAGAAACAATTATCTAGGTTTTCATAATTACAAACATTCAATAAGCATTCAATGTATTATATTACTGAATCTACAGGTACTATGTTTATTAAGTATTTTGGGGTTACAGATTACCAGAGGCTTAGAGTATGATATAAAATACTACCTTTATATAAGTTGTTAGTGTACCTAAAGCACTTCGACAGTAAGCCAGTTAGTGACTCAGTTATCCAGTTGTGCTATATAACTAAATCCTCTATTACAGAAAATGAAATTGAGACTTTTAGGTGTCCAATGACTTGTTCAAGTTCATGCAGCTAGTAAGAGGGAGGGTTAATTTTCAGGGTTAATTTCTGATGTTAGGTTTACTGATATCTAAGACATTTGACTTCTCACTATACCTTACCACTTCCCAATATGATAAGATACATCTGTATTAACGTAATACTAAATAATCATTTCGGGGTCTTTTAAAATATTTTAAATAATTTTTTATTGTTGTTCAAGTACGGTTATCTCCATTCCCCCCCCATACACCCCTATCCCACCTACCTCCACCCCTCACTCTCCCTCAGACTTCCTCCCTTTCATTTTGTCCGTGTGTCCTTTATACATGTTCCTTGACAGCTCTTCCCCTGTTTTCCCCCATTATTTCTCCCCCGCCCTTCCTCTGGTTACTGTCAGTTCTTTATTTCAATGTCTCTTGTTCTATTTTGCTTGCTTGTTTTGTTGATTAGGTTCCACTTATATGTGAGGGTCTTAAAATACCTAAGGATCGTTGTTTTTGAACAGTGCGCATCGTGTGTGTGTGCTGCAGAGCTGCCGTACAATACACACTTCTGATTAGTAAACTAGTTTGTTACTTGAAAGCCTTTTTCCTTTCAAAATAGGGATGGACACATCAGATATCAGTGTGTACAGGACTTTTTTTTGTTACCATAAAATATCTACTTAGTCTTAGCAAACCAAGTTTAAGGACAAAAATATCTTTCACAGTCATATTCCTGTCTGTAAAAGAGAGGCCTGGAGTTCGTGAACTTCCCCATTCTTTGTCACACAGAGCTGACATGGGCCTCTGCAGACCTACAAAAACTTATACCTGAAGCCACATGCTCATATAATTGGGAGCACACGGTGTAGATTAAGAATTGGGATGCTGGCTGATGCAGGATAGGGTAGTGGCTCAGAGAGAGACTCTGGAGCTGGGTGGGATTTGAACCCTGGCTCCTTTATTTACTGTTGTGACCCTGGACAGATCATGTCTGTGCCTGTTCCCTCACCTGAAATAGAGGATGAAAATAATGGTACCTTCCTCATAAAGGTGTTGGAAGTGCAGATGACTTGATTTTTAAAGCCTAACACATAGAAGAGTGCTTTTATGCATGCAAAGTCTGACACCTGAAATAAGATAATGGAATGTATATAAGACTTTATTTTTTATATTTTTAGGATGCTAAAGAACAGATAAGCCCATTGGAAACCACACTGGACAAGTTCCATCAGGAAAAAGAAGAAATAATTTGCAAAAAAACTACAAATATCAAAATAACACAGGATAAAGTAAGATTGCATTTATATATTTACTTACCAAGTACATATATGAAACATTGTTATGTTCAGAGCACCGTGTTGGACAATGTTGGACACTATTATTTCACATGAGATTAAAAGCATAAGATAAATAGTATTTTCAAATTTGTGACATAATCTTAACATTAAAAATTCTTGTTATAATAATAAGGATTAAACTTAAATTAGATTGTTTCTTGATCTGTAGTAGAAGTTGAGAATTGAGACTATTTAATCCAGTTCCAAAGGTGAAAAGGGACTTATCTGAGATAAAATTTGCTGATGATAAAAACTAGAACCCAGGGCTCCTAACTTGCAAGCCAATGTTTCACTGTACTTTCTCCTATTAAGCTTTTGTTATTTTTAAATTTCTTTGGAAATAAATCTTTTATGCCCTGGTTTTCAACTAGTGTGTATTTAATAAATATTTTTCCACAGATAAATGATATCAAAGAGAAGGTTAAAAATATTCATGGTTATATGAAAAACATTGAGAATTATATTCAAGATGGGAAAGACGACTATAAGAAGGTAATTTTAAACTTAAAACTTATTTGTTTTTGTTTTTATTTCTTGTGCCTAAAGTTCTTTCTTTTTTGTAGCAAAAAGAAACTGAACTTAATAAAGTAATAGCTCAACTAAGTGAAAGCGAGAAACACCACGAAAAGATAAATAAGGAAATGGGAATCATGAGACAAGATATTGATACACAGAAGGTAGGTGTTTTGCTCATGGCTTATGGTGGCTTATGCTATCACTTATACCAATAGCATTCTTTATTTTTTACTTTTATTTTCAGTAGACCCACTAAACAGAAATGCCAACAGTAGAGAATATCAATTCCAATAATGTATTCTTTTCTTATTTACTTTTATTCATTTTTATTTTCAATAAAAGAGCTATTTGGTAAAAATTTAAACATAAAAGACTAAAATTAAAAATGTTTGCCCTGGCTGGTGTAGCTCAGTGGATTGAGCGTGGGCCTGCAAACCAGACAATCATGGTTCGATTCCCAGTCAGGGCACATACTGGGGTTGCAGGCTAGTTCCCAGCAGGGGATGCACGAAAGGCAACCATACATTGATGTTTTTCTCCCTCTCTCCTTCCCTTCCCCTCTAAAGATAAATAAATTTTTTAAAAAATGTCCTTCCTTTTCTGGTAATTCTCAGTCTCACTCCTAGATGTCATTACTGTTAATAGCTTTTTGTTAGTTCTTTAAAAACTTTCTTACTCACATACCAGCAGAGAGATGGGTAGATAATGTGTGTGTGTACATTTACTTTCATAGATGAGATCGTACCACACATATCCTGCACCTTACTTTTTTCCACTTAATGCAGTTTAATCTTACATATCACCTCAATTCACAGATTGATAACATTCTTTTTTAAAAGTATATTTTATCGATCATGCTATTACAGTTGCCCCGATTTCCCCCCTTTTGCCCTCCTCTACCCAGTGACCCCTGTTCCCTCAGGCAACCCTGCCACCATTTTTCATGTCCATAGGTCATGCGTGTATAAGTTCTTTGGCTACTCCATTTCCTACACTGTACTTTGCATCCCCGTGGCTATTCTGTAACTGCCTATTTGTACTTCTTAATCCCCTCACCTCTTCACCCATTCTCCCCCTTCCTCCTCCCATCTGGCAACTATCTGGTAACTAACTTCTTTTCTCTTGCTGCTTTTAAGAGTCTCCCTTTATCTTTAACCTTTGGCCTTTTAATCACGATATGTCTTTGAGTGGGCCTCTTTGCATTTGTCCTAATTGGGACTCTGTGCTTCCTGGACTTGCATGTCTATTTCCTTCACCAAATTAGGGAAGTTTTCTTTCACAATTTTTTCAGATCGATTTACAATTTCTTGCTCTTTTTCTTTTCCTTCTGGCACCCCTCTGATATAAATGTTGGACCCCTTGAAGTTGTCCCAGTTCATACTAGTCTCATTATTTTAGATTTTTTTCTTTTAGTTCTTCTGCTTGGTTGTTTTTGCTTCCTTGTGTTCCAAATCATTGATTTGAATCTCTGCTTTGCTCACTCTACTGTTGTTAGAGTTCTTTATTTCAATTACTGTATCCTTCATTTCTGACTGGATTTTTTTTATGCCGTTGAGGTCTTTACTAAGTTCCTTGAGCATCCTTGTCAGCAGTGTTTTGAACTCTAAATATAATATATTGCTTATCTCCATTTCATTTAGCTCTTTTTCTGGAGTTTCTGTTCTTTCATTTGGGCCATGTTTCTCTGTCTCCTTATTTTAGCAGCCTCCCTGTGTTTGTTACTGTGTGTTAGGTAGAGCTGCTTTGACTCCCTGTCTTGGTAGTGTGGCTTAATGTAGTAGGTGTCCTATAGAATCCAGTGGCACAGCCTTCTCTGTCACCCAAGCTGGGTACTCAAGGTGCACCTTTGTATTGGCTGAGTACAATGACCTCTTGTAGTTGAGTCTTGGTTGCTGTTGGCAGATCAACAGGAGGGATTTACCACGCCAGTCAGCTACAAGGATTGGCTATTACCACTGACCACCAACCTCTGCCGTCCATGGTCCATAGAGGATCAGATGTGCAGGGGCAGGGTGGTGGTTCTCTGTTGTAGTCTATAGCTGTCCACTGGGTGCGCAGGCCCTGGGGTATCCTGGGTGGCGCAGACAAAGGCCAGTCCCTACATGTGCTTTGCCCAAGTCACCTGCCTGAGCTCTAAAGCAATCTGAGATGGCTGTTCCTTGTGCAGGGCTTGGAGATTCCCAGATGAAGCCAAGCTGTGACTCTAATCTGGCTGCTGCTTGCTAGGACTCACTGAAGCCAGCTGTTGCTTGTTTAATAGGATTTAGGAGCCAAGACCAGCCATTCTTATAGAAAAGCAGCTTGAATGGGCCCATAAATTGGGTGGGACAGAGCCTCTGAGGATCTCCAAAGCAGGTCAAACAGTGTTAGCCAAGTTTTTGGAGTTCAGATTTGGCACCAGCTTATCTGCTCTGTGGTGGGAGGGCTTGGGGAAGGAACAATGGCCTCTGCTTGCCCTGTTGCCAAACACTTGCCAAACACTTCATTCTCTCCCTCTATACCACTGGTGCCCTTCAAGCTGCCACCCCAGTGCTGGAGCTCAGAGGGAGTGAGTCTGTGTAGGTGAGTTCCTGTAGGAGTTCCCTAAAAGGAACTGTTTAGGGCTCTAGCAGTTTCTTCCACCAACTCAATCCCCGCTGGTTTTTGCAGCCAGGGCTTATCTTCCTGACACTGGAATCCTGGCTTGGAGGGCATGGTCTGGGGCTGAGACTCCTTGCTCCCGGGGAATCCCTTCTGAATTTTTATCCACATGGGTGTGGGACCAGCCCATTGTGCATCTGTACCCCTCCTACCAGTCTGGATGGATGTGGTTTCTTTAATTCCATAGTTGTCAGACTTCCATTCAGCCTGATTTCTGATGTTCCTGAATGATGGTTGTTCTATATTTTAGTTGTAATTTTGATGTGGCTGTACAAAGAAGTAAGCCATGTCTGCCTGTGCCACCATTGTGACCGAAGTCCAATAACATTCTTTTTAGTGATTGTAAAATAGTCTATTTTGTATATTTACTTGTTTTTTTCCTTATTGCAAACTGTGGCGGTATATATCCTACATATACCTGTATTTTTTTTCTTATTCTGACATTTTCATGTAGTATAAATTACACAAAACAGTTTGAGTGTAATATATTTTTTAAAATTGTAAGTAAAATATCTATATATTAAATGACCTTCTAGTTGATTCCTATATCATTTATTTTTCTCTATTAAAGAAATTGATTTTCACAGTATAAAATCACATAAAAAAACTATCCTCAACATGCCTTATGCAAACATGATGGTTGATCTACCTAATTTAATGACTACAGTTGATGCTTGAACAGTGCAGGGGTTAGGAGTGATAGCCCTCCCCCACCCACTTCGCACAGTTAACTTCTATTATATGCACTTATAACTTCTGATTTCCCCAAAACTTAGTTGTCCCTCAGTATCCATGAGGCTTGGGTCCCAGACCCCCAGCTGATACCAAAATTCAAGGATGCTGAAGTCCCCTGTATAATGTGCTGTATGTAGATCAGTGCACACGGGCAGCCCTCTGCACCTGTACACTCCCCACCATGCATCAAAAACAGGACAGGCATCCATGTATGTTTGGGAAAAAATCTGTGTGCAAGTGGAACTGTGCAGTTCAAACCTGTTGTTCAAGGGTCATTTGCACACCATTTCTCTGTCCTGCTGTTTTAAACAGAATATGGTATTTGAATGTTTTCATCACTTGTGTGTAAGTGACGGTTAAAAATCTATTTGGAGATTAGCCATATAGCTTTCTGCAGGATCTCTGACTATAGTGCCAGGAGTTTCAAATACATAAATGTCAGTCAAAGGTAAATTGAATCTCTGCCATCTGATATATGCTGAATAACTATATGATGCATATATCACAAAATAGTTAATCTATCACTAGTTTATATGAGGGTTGTCTATTTGAAATCACAATTTATAAATCAGTAATATCCCTCCATATACAGATACTAAGATGAGTAAGATTTACCAGTCTGTGACCCTTTTCAAGTTGATGATCTTAAACTTAGTGGATCTGACTGTATTAGTTTACTTCTATAACCTACCTTGTTCCAGAAATTATATACTAAGTTATATACATAGAGCAATGCCAAATAACATTTTAAATTAACATGGAAATGAGGCAATGTGGAAGAAAGGGCAAGAAGTTAAACCTGGGGAGTAGTGAAACAGCAGATCCTTGAATAACACAGTTTTGTTATAATGTTTGATGAGTTGCTTAGGAACTTAACTTGTGTTTATAGCAATTAGCCTTTGGTAAAGTTGGTTTAAAATATATAATTTTACTTAAAATTGTTGAACCTATTGATGATACTAAGTGAGGATGTACTATGTATAAAATGTAGGCCGTGAGATCTGATTTGCTTGCTAAAGATTCTACTGTAGCCGTCATATGAAGAGAGGAAGTCACAATTAGGTAAGATTCACGGTGTCCCAGAGCTAAAGGGAAACTACTTCCCTGTACCGCCACCAGAGAAAAATGTCTCTGTAGGTATTCACTAAAAGGAGAACACTGTAAAGATTAATGAAAACCATGTCTTCAACAAACTTCATGGGGCTGTTTTTTAAAAGTGTACGTTAGCATCTTTATTGTCCCTTGATGAGGTTCCATAGGTAGTGGTGTAACTTTAGCCTAAAGTAAAGAGTGTTTAGAGAGCAAAGGTTAGCTAGGGGCACCCATCAGAAATGCCTAGCTTTTTTCCATTACTAGGAATTTAACCAAGAAAATGTAAAATGTTCATACCGGCATTATTCATAATAATCAAAATATGGAAACAACCCAGATGGTTATCACCTGATGAATAAACAAAATGTGGTATGTCCATAGGTATTAGTCAGGTTTGTCTAGAGAAACAAAACCAAAAGGGTATGGATGGATGGCTATATGTCTGTGTGCATGTGTAAATTTATTACAAGGAATTGGCTCCACGTGATTGTGAAAGCTGAGAAATCCCAAGATCTGTAGCTGACAAGTTGGAGACTCGAGAGAGCTGATATTATAGTTTCTGTCTGATTCTGCAGGCCTGAGAACCAGGACAGCCGAGAAGCCAAAGAAGAGGCGATATTTCCGTTTGAGTCCAAGTGCAGGAAAAGACCACTGCCCCAACCCACCAAGTCAGTCAGGATTTACTTCTCACTGAGCTTTTTTGTTACATTCTGGTTTTCGGTCATTGGGATGATGCCCACCGCCGTTAAAGAGGGCAAACTGCTTTACTCAGTCCTAGGTTCAAATGTGAATCTCGTCCAGAAACACCCTTAAAGACACTCAGAATAATGTTTAACCAAATGTCTGAGTACACTGTGGACCAGTCAAGTTGACACACAAAGTTAACACATAATACAATGCAATATTATTCAGCCACAAAAGGAATGAAATAGCAATACACACTAAACATGGACAGAACTTGAAAACAGAGTGCTAAGTGAAAGAAGCCAGCCACAAATGACCACATATTATGATTCTGTTTATATGAAATGTACAGAATAGGCAAATCTGTAGAGACAGGAAGCAGATTAGTGTTGCTAGGGATGGGGGCGGGGGGAGCGAGGAGAGAAGAGATTGGAGAGTGACTGCTGATAGGTATGGGGTTTCTTGCGGGAGGAGGGATAAAATGTTCTGGAATTAGTGGTGATAGTTGTGCAACCTTGTGAATATGCTAAAACCACTGAATGTGTACTTTAAAATGGTGAATTTTATGTTACATGAATTACACTCCTCAATTTTTCAAAAAAAGTCTGGGTTATTAAAAATATACATGTCTATTTCTCCATTTCAGATGAATAAATCAGACTCTCTGGGGCATGGGCAGAGGCATGTATGTTTTCTTAAAGGACCTCAAGGGTTTTTTTGTTTTTTTTTTTAAGATAAATTAATATTTAATTCATTAATTTATTAACAGGACCTCAAGGGTTTTGATGTATAGCCTTAACTATTAATCGCTGACCCAGAGCACTGCCTAGCTTTCAGACAGTCGTCTGTAAAGCTGTTTTCCTAACCAGATGTTTGGTGGATGCCGGACCGCAGTCTGCTGGGTGTGTTGTTCCATCGCGGGCCCCCAGAGGGCCTCTAATTTTTGTTTCCTTCAGGTGGCTCCCTGCAAGCATTAGCTATCATCTGAGCTGAGTGATAAGGGTTTATCTAAGAACTGAGGGGTCTAATAGTAGTTTATTTATAGGATTACACCCTACCAAATTTAGTCCATGGGGGTAAAAAATTTGGAAGTTTAATAATCTGCCTCCCTTATTTTTCAGATAAAAGGAACTGGAAGTGACCTAACTTACCAAAGGTCAAAAAAAGTAGTAGCCAAGGAGGACCTTGGCTCTACCTTGTCAAATTGTGGTGTACTAGAACTGCATCTCATCGTCTTTCCTGCCTCTCTCTGATACATTATATTTTGTAGAAAGTAATCAGAATTCTCATTGGTTAAATAAAGTACAAGGACAAATTTGACCCACTAGCAGTTACAAAGGCAGGCACTGTTTTGATTACTTCACATACATTAAATCATTTTAATCTTCACAATAGCTCTGTATGACTCTTGTTAATATCACCCTGTTACAGTTAAACTGAGGCTCAGAGAATTTAAACTAATTTGCCCAAAGTCATTCACTTTGAAAGTATAACACTGAGACTTGAGCCTAGGTGTATACCTGACTTCAAAGCCTATGCTTTTTAACTAGTATGCTGCATACTGTCTTTCAAAAGGAGAGAAAGCAACAAACTGACCTAAAGGAAATGCCTAGTTTCTAGTGACCATGAAAGAAAACAAACCAGGAACAGCATTTTGTGCCAAAAATCAATCTCAACTAAACATGTGATAGATAGCCCATTCAAGAGTTCTTTCATGGTGGCTGTCTATCATGAGGGCAGAACAGGGGAACAGTGTACTCACCTCCACTTACATTATATCAGAATTACAACTAAATTATAGAGCAAGCATCATGGAGATCCACCTGCAGACTAGCTGGACAGAATGCCTAAAACTAAGGCTATAAGGAAGAAACCAACGTGAGACTGGAAGGAGAGGCAAAGACATGGAATGGTCAGGTCTCACACCCACCGTGCAGTGATTAAGATTCAGGAGGGATATCTCAGCTGCAGAGGTCCCTCCTGAGGAGCAAGGGGGCCCAGCTCCACATCAGGGCACCAGTGCCAGGAAGAGGAGCCCCATATTTTCTGACTGAAAACGAGTGGGTATGGTATCTAAGAAAGAAAACAGGCTGATAGAGACCTAGGTGCTGCAGATCTTAAAGGGCCTGAGCACAGACTCCCTCACACACTCACTCTGAGTTCCGGCACAGGGGCAACTGCTTGAAAAATTCCAGGGATGTGGAGAAGGACTAAATTGACTAGCTTCAGGGTGAAGGCCGGAGGTTCAAGGGTCGGGGCAGCTCTCTCCAGGGCCTGGAGATGCCATGGTTCCTTTATTGAGCCTTTTCAAGCAGCTGGCCGGCAGGCAGGCACAAATCTAAGCTCTCCACTAACCTGGCTAACACTCTTGGCCCCATCCATCTTACATAGCCTGTCTGAACCTCTTTCAGTGGCTTTTCCACATAAACAGTCTGCCTCGGCTCATGCTGCAATCTCTCCTAAAGTCTCAGAGATCCACAAACAACCAAGCAGCAGCTGGCCTTGGTGTGCCCTGTGCCTCTCACTAAGCAGCCCCACGTTAGGCACTAGCAGCAGCTGGCCATGGTTTACAGTGTAGCCACTCCCAACCATATCAGTGTAGTCCCCTTTAACTGCTTATAATGATGCCTTTAATATATAAGTATACACTTATATTATTTCCAGGAAAACTGATGGTATTTGGGGGAAACCCTTGAAACAGTGGTTTATAGATGGTCAGGGTTGTATGTGAACACTAAACGTGTGAGAAAGGTCCCACTGTGCTTCTCTCCCATCTGGTGACTCGGTGCCATTACTGTTGGCAACAAGGTTTTGCCAGAGGTCTGCCTGTCCCTCCTACTTCCCACATGACTAAGTTTATCTCAGCTGCAAGGCTTCCTGAAGGAGGGTCCTAGCTCTTTTTGAGAAATCTTGACTTTGAACTTGTGATATTTTCTGTATTCAATCTTTTATGATCCAAACCAACATTATTTCTGCAGGAAATTTTTTTCTTAAATTTCAAAGAATCAAATTATAATCTTGTGCTTAATGTTTGTCTCTTGACAACATGGTTCATTGTAGTCACTGGGAAACCTGCTGAAATAATTGTGTTGCTGCTGCTAAGTGATTAGCTCTCTTTTAAAGACAAAACTACTCAATAAGAACAGCCAACTTTTTAAACTTTCAGTTCAATTCAGTAGCCTGGGAAGTAGCTTCAAATAGATAGACATTTAGTATTTTTTGGCACTTCTTACCGATTTGTGTGATTATTTGTCAACTTGAAGGTAAAGTTCTTATTTGACATGCTTAATATTATCTTATAGTATTGGCACATGGTAGGAGAGAAATACAACTAGGCAAAAAAGTTAGGGGGAGACTGATAGTAGTATTACTGTCTGGTGGTCTTTAAGATGTTATTGTGGGGTTCCTGTGCAAGATGACCCAATGAGGTATAAGTATATTTAAATATACAGTTGTAGTTTTTATTTCATAGTGTGAATTTCTGGTTTGTGTGCCCGGTCGTCCAGGTTAGTGTAGGCTGGAGGAGCCTTCACGCTGGCCTTGGCTCCCTCTGTTGAGTTTAACATGATTCTCAGCAAGGCAGAAGTAGCAGTGCCTGTCAGCAGTTGCCTGTTAGGAGCCACGAGTTGGTCACTTGATCATTTTTATGATTAACTGATTTAATATTTACATTTAGATACAAGAAAGATGGCTGCAGGATAACCTTACATTAAGAAAAAGAAATGAAGAACTGAAAGAAGTTGAAGAAGAAAGAAAACGACATTTGAAGGAAATGGGTCAAATGCAGGTTTTACAGATGAGAAAGTATGTTTTTAAAAATAGCCTTTAAAAGATCTGTTACTGAATTGTGAAGACTATTCAATACATGTTTTTTAAAAACAATTTAAGCCTTTAGCCTCAGTGTCCCTTGAGACTCACATGAAGGTGAATGGAGTTTTTATACCAACATATTCCATGGTCTTGTGAATTAAATTACTGAACAGGTGATAGAGCACATATAGTTCTACTGCAGTGACAGGCAGGAATACAAATGCCATGTCCCCAGATTTCTGCTAGCCAGCTTCACAAGGTAATGGTCCCAAGCAAAAGGAGCATGTAGCCTGTGGGCCTGGCTTGGGTCAGTCTGCAGTATTGCGAAAGTGATTTGACGTTGAAGACCCATTTAACACGGCCCCAGTTGTAATTATGTGACAACCAGGCAGGGGTTTTTTGTTTTGAAGATTACCCTGATTCTTATTTCATCTGGTTTTATTGGTATTTACTGTAGGTTCTGCCTTCCTGGTGCAGCAGAAAATATTTTATTCTTGCCTTAGAGTTAGTTGCCTTAAGAATTCTGTAAAAACCCCGTTGATGCTAAGGTGCTTGACTGGTATAAAAGGTTGTGCTCACCAAATAGATTTTTGAACTACCTCAGTTGATTTAATACAGGTCTCTCATTCATTCAGCCATCATGTATAGATTTTTCATTTGTTTTCCTGACTTGACACAGAAATCTGAATCAAAGAATATAAGTTTTTCTAAAGGATATAGTAAGTTGAAATTTTGATTTAATTTATTACAAGTAGTTAACCCCCTTGTTTAAAATCTCTTTCATATAACAAGGAAATCAGACCTTCTAACTAGAATTGCTCTTCATCTTTAGCCGCTTTATTTTTTATACATTAGAACACTGAGACCCAGAAAAAAAAACCACAGGAAATATTGGTGAAAGCCTGGAATGTGACCTAGATATCCTAGCTCCCAAGCCTCAGCTGTTACAATGTTAGTGTTCTTGGTGGCAAGTTGGGAAAAGTAAAGCTTGTAGAAGAAACTTTTATTTCTCTTTATTTATTTTTAGAGGGGAAGGGAGGAAGAAAGAGAGGGAGAGAAACATCAATGTGAGAAAGAAACTTTGATTGGTTGCCTCTCGCATGTACCTCAGCCAGGAACCCAACCTACAGCCCAGACGTGCGCCCTGACCAGGAATCACAGCGGTGACCGTGCACTTTGTAGAACAGCGCCCAGCCAGCTGAGCCCCATTAGTCAGGTTTAGAAGAAACTTTTAAATGAAATCATTTATTCTTTGCTACTGAAGACCAGAACCATGTATTTTTATAATTCCTGGTACATAACAATGATTTTTACATTTATTCAGACAGTATTAAGTACAACTGATCTTGTTCAAACCTTTTTTCAACCAGAACACAACAGAAATGTCAACAAAAAGGACGGTCAGGCCAGTTCCACACGGATGTTCATAAACTTGACAGCAGTGCCTGGCCTACAAGAGGGTGCTGAATAAGTTACTGTTAAATAAATGAAGATTTTTAAGGCACACATTAAAATCTATATTGTCTACTAAGTTATCAGAAAAGTTTGGGTATCTTATTTTGGGGGGTCAGTGTTATGCTTTTTTAATACTTATATGAGAATTTTTTTTCATAGGGGAGTATAAACTTTTAGTAGGTATTACTATAGAAATTAGTAGTTTAACTGAGATCAAATTATATTTGTCTTTGACATTGTAAACAAAATTATGACACCTATTATTCAGTAACTCCTCAGTGTTGGTAATTGTAAACTCTCAGCTTTCAGTCAGAAGTTTGTGAGTTTCTAATATTAATCACCAAGAACTCTTTAGTGTCTAAAACTCAGGAACTTTCCTCACTGCTCACATTTTATGAGAGTTCTTTATTCAGCACACAAAAATCGACTGTTTAGAAAGCTGGATGCTTCAGAGATTTGGAAGGAAGAAAATTTTCTCTCATGCTGAAACCTTGGGTAAAGAGCAAGGAGAGACTGTTACTGTGTGCTGATTGCTAAAGAGAATGATAAATGATATCTGTCTTCCTACAGAGACCTGGCTTTTCTACGTCAGGCTGCAGAAAGCTAAAAATGGTCCTCATTTGTCATTTTTCCCCTTTACAGTGAACATCAGAACTTGGAAGAAAAAATAGATAATATAAAAAGAAATCACAGTTTGGCAATAGGGCGACAGAAAGGTTATGAGGACGAAATTATCCACTTTAAGAAAGAACTTCAAAAACCTCAATTTCGAGATGCTGAGGAAAAGTATAGAGAAATGATGATCGTTATGAGAACAACGGAGCTTGTCAACAAGGATCTGGACATTTATTACAAGACCCTCGACCAGTAAGTACTGGGCTAGGAACTGGTTCCCAGTGCAGTGAATATCAATTAGCATATTTTATTCATATTTTCCTTTTTTATTTTTTAATTGTGTATCACACATACCAAAGAATGGAAGAATACAGACATGCGTGTATACACACACATGCTGAAGTAGAGCAGGTCAGTAATAACACATGTTGATATTAAGGTATAGTCATGACGCCACCCCTCACCCAGCCCCCAATCCAAGAACTCAGCCGTTGTCACTGCCTGACACCCACCGAAATGCCCCTCCTGGTCTCAGCCTTCCGTCATCTCCACTGCCTGGAATTACTGGCACAGCTTTTTGCCTTCTGTGCTTTAAAACAAAAAGTAATATTATCATACGTGTGGTTCTTTCTGAGCTTTAAAAAAAGTACATATTCTGTGTACTCGTCTAAGATTTGCTTTTTTAAATTTTTGTTTATGTTGCTTATAGCTATAGTTCATTCATCCTCACTGATGTACAGAATTCAGTGTGAGAATATGCATGACTATAGTTCATTCATCTTCACTGATGCACAGAATTCTGTGTGGGAATATGCCACTGTGTATCCGTGGTCCTGCAGACGGACATGCAAGTGTTTCCGGGCCTTGCTAATAGAACCCTTGCTGCTAGGAACACTCTTGCCATGTCTTCTGGAGCAAAGGTGGAAAAGATTCCCTGCAATCTGTGTGGGGGTAAAATTACTGGGTTGCAGGGTATGCTCAGTTTTATAAAATAATGTTAAATTATCTGCCTCAGTATTTTTACTAATTGGCACCATTAGCAGAATATAAGGATTTTTTTAGACATCCTCTGACACTGATTTTGTCTATTCCTTAATTTTTGCCAATCTTAGGGATTTAAAATAGTAAATCTTTGTGGTCTTCATCTGCAGTCCCCTGATTTCTAACGTTGTTGACCACCCTTCTCGTGTTTGACCATTTCGTTTCCTCTCTCAAATGTCCGTGTCTTACACCTGTATTTCATGTATTATCAGGCGTCTTACGGACTTGCAGGGGCTCTGTCTCTTCTGCATTTTAATTCCTTTTCAGATATATGTATTATAAATATTTCTCAAGCTTCTTACGTTTATCTTTTCACTTTTTTTTTTTTTTTATCTTTTCACTTTCTTATAGTGTCTTCTAATGGACAGAGTAGATTTTAAGGTCGTTGCATTTACCAGTCTTTTCTTTCTTGGTTAGCTCTTTTTCTGTCTTGCTTAAGAAATCCTTCTCTACTCCTGTGTTTTCCTCTCCACGTTTTAAAGTTTTGCATTTCACATTTAAGTACATTGAAGTGTTTAGTCCTGAGTTGAATTTTATGTACAGTGTAAGGCAGGACTCCCGTTTCACTTTTCCTTTCATGGCTAACCAGTCATCCTGGCTGTTTGGTGAGGAGTCAACCCTTTTCTCACTAATCGGCAGTGTTTCTCGTGTCACGTGTCAGAATCACACATGCACGGCTTGGTCTGGGTTTTCTGCCCCCTTTCATTGGTCACAGCGTCTGCCTCTGTGCCGTTGCCTTGCTTACTGCACCTGTGGAATGTGTTCAGCATATAACAGAAGTCTGTTCTTTTAAGTCAGTGTAGTCCCTCCCAGTTCATGGTGATTGAGTATGTAAAAGAGTTGTATTTATTTCTGTCTTTTTTTTACCTTCTTGTCTGCTGTGGAATTTTTCTTTATTCCTCTTTTTTCCCTTCTTTGGGTTGTAAAGGATATAGTCTACTTCAGTTACTTAGGTATTTACTTTTAAATTTTTAACATGCATATTTTAAAACAAATACATTGATTCTCAAAGTGGTCCTGGAGCAGCATTATCTGTATCATCTTGGAACTTATTACTGTGTGGATATTAACAAATATAGCTTGACTTTTCGTGGTCGCCTGAGGGAGTGGGATGTGAGGATGTAGAGAAAAAGGAACACTTGTGCACTGTTGGTGGGATTGCAAACTGGTGCAGGCACTGTGGAGGTCCCTCAGAAAAATTAAAAATAGAACTACTGTATGACCCAGCAGTCCTGCTTCTGCGTATTTATCCAAAGAAATCCAAAACACTAATTCAAAAAGATACATGCACCCCCATGTGCCTTGCAGCATTTTTTACAACAGCATAGATACAGACGCCACCTCGGTGTCCATCAGTGAATGAGCAGATGAAGAGGACATGGCACATAAATGCAGTGCAATATTAGCCATAAAAAAGGACAACTTGCCATTTACAACAACATGGATGGACCTAGAGTGTGTTATCCTAAGTGAAATAAGTCAAAGAAAGATAAATTCTGTACGATTTTACTTATATGTGGAATCTAAAAAGCAAAACAGAACAAGAACAAATTGTGTACAGAGAACAAACTGAGAGTTGTTAGATTGGAGGGGCTGGGGCAGATGCGTGAAAAAGGTGAAGGGGATTAAGCAGGTAGTGACTAGTTAATTAGTGACCAGCAGTACATTAGAAATGGGTAAAAGACACAAATGTTTCCAAGAGGAAACAAAACAAACATGAAACAATGTTCTGCAGCATTAGACAGAATGCTAATGCTGCAAATGACAGATAAGAAACCGCCAGTTGTGAAAGTAATTGTGGTGAATATAAATCATAAGGTAGGTGTCTAATCATTATGTTGTGTACCTGAAACAATATAGTATTGTATGTCAACTATAATTTTAATAAATTTTTAAAAATCAGAAACTCCCTGAAATTTAAGGGGAAAAAAAGTGACCAGACCTTTGACTTTGACAAAATGGAGGTTGTTAATGACTTTGAGGGGTAATCTCAGTGGCTTGGTTGGAACTGAAGCCTTGAAGTTGGAAGAGGAAAGGAGGGGTCAAAGAAATGAAGATGGTCAGTATAGATAATTCTTACAAAAGTTCTGTAAAGGGGAGCAAAATATGGAGTGATGGCTTGAAAGGCCCAGTTACGGAGACAGGGTTTAAATTTTACTTGCACATGTTCTGCTATAAGGCAGCTCTTTTTACCGACCCGCAGACCTTGTCTCATGTGCACCACCTGAATAGAGAACTGCACCTGGGAGCCCTCCAGCTATCCCTGCAGACCCTCAGAGCCAGTGACAGCCAGGAGAGGAGGATGTCTTCCATAAGGCACACATTCTTTCCAGAATCCCTGTTCTGCCCTCTCTTGTCAGGCTCTGGGAAGTTAGACACCGTACTTGGTCTCTCCTGCAAACTGCTAACAGTCCAACAGGGGAGGCCATGGTGGGCACCCCATAGTCTGTGTTTGACCTGGGCCTTGAATAATGAAGGCCTGGCCTCTCTGTAAGGAAAAGTGCCTCAGTTACAGAGGGACCACACTGAGCCAGGTGAGGGCGAGAGTGGGGCATGCAGGGTGCTTTCCAGCGGTTTAGGCTCACTGAAGGAACCAAGCCCAGCTACGCACTGAGGTCTGTTATCTGGTAATCAGATGGATTCTGCTAAATGAGAAGGAAAGAAGTGGTACAGATTTCCCCCAAATTGAGTCTGTGAGCTTCTGCTTGCAAACAGTGGCCTTCTTAAGGTTTAGACTGTGAGCCTTAAATTTGCCTTCTCACCTAGAAGAAAGTGAGGCCCAAAATTTCCCTCATTGTTCCACCTCTTAGAATGAAGCATGCAGTCAGTGTAATTGTTGCATTGAGCTGTCTATTTAAGGTAACACAGGAAGTTAGCAATGCATTTTCAAGAAGAGCTGATTATCATCTGTAATTAGTAATCATCTAAAAACATCACTGATTGTAAGCATTGCCAATGGTCAGAGAACACTGGCTGAGAGGAAAATACTAATCATTTAGAATATATTCCTTGCCCCTTAATAGAATACATCAATTAAAGTTAAATGATTTTTGGAATATGTCAAAGTACACTGTTCTACCCTATGTCAATTTTCCACTGTCATTCTTCCCCAAATGTGGAATGATGCATATTAAGCCACACCTGCTGAGACTCAGTGGAAATGTGTAGCTTGCACAGTTTGCATTCGAGGCAACCAGCTCTCAGGGAATCTTTTCAGGGCCTGGCTCCTCAACTCACAGAGGACTCAGCCAGAGCTCACTTCTCATAGCGGCCACTCTTGTCCTCACCACAGATGCAGTAGTTTCACAGCCCTGGGCCCTGCAGCACGGAGCCAGCAGATCACAAAACCGGAAGACAGCCAGACTTTTCACACTCACTGCAGTTTTTTCAGCCAAAGGTTTATCTTGCAACAGTGGCTGAACCACTGCCTGAATTTTAAAATCTGTTTTTTGGGGAGTCTGACTAAAGGGAATTCATTTTAAGAATTTAATTTAATAGTGTTAAGGGTTTTATCTAGAAAAAGAGGTTATTTTTCTTTCAAATGTGTAACTTGAGTTTGGCAAATTTGGGATTTTGAGTTTTGCTAGGTAATGAAAAATCAATAGTTGGGAACATGAAACCAATAAAACATGATACCCACGATACCATTTCCTTTCTGCGTGAGGGCTGCCGCTGACCTAAATGTTGGGAAACAGGAAGTTCTCACGGTGGTATCAGGGCAGTAGGGAGGAGTATCCAATGTAATAATGAGTGACAGTGGGCATAGCCAATTTTTAGCAACCTACAGATCTCACAGTTTGGTACAATTTTAAGTTTTTTTAAATCCTCACCTGAGGGTATGTCTATTGATTTTACAGAGAGGAAGAGGAGAGGGAAATATCAATGTGAGAGAAACATTAATTCGTTGCCTCCTGTATGCGCCCCGACCAGAGACCAGACACTCAGCCTTTTGGTGTGTGGGACAGCACCCCAGTAACTGAGCCACCCAGCCAGGGCAGCACAATTTTAAATGCAAAGAGGAGGATAATGTTTTTTGGAAAATGTCCTTTGTTAAGTATAATCTTTTCTGCTTTTTTTCTAATTTGGTTGATTTTCATTAACTTAATAGGTTTTTTTCATGCTTCTGAACTAAGTAATATTTTTTATTAGTAAGGTATGCTTTGTATTTGGCTCCTTTTTTCCTTTTCTCAAGTATATAATCTTTATTATAT